GAGAGCTCCTGTCCTGGCCCCTTGACCAAAGAGCCGTGGCTCTCAGCCGCAGCCGGGCCCTGAGTCCTATCTGCACAGACAGGTGAGGCTCTGGTCAGGGCCTGCCCCAGGAGCACAGGACGATGGACACGGGCCTGGCCAGGGCAGCCCAGGGTCGGCTGGCTGGGGTCCCACACCCTCCGAGGGCGGGTCATCCTCGCACCCCGCCTGCAGAGGGCCTCTGGGGCAAGTTCTCAGAAGCATCCTGTGGGAACTGGAAGCTGAATGTTAATGGAATCAGATATTCTGTCTATCATTTCCTCTTGTCCCCTAGCAGTTTCAGCACTGGCTTTTTTTCTGAGCAAGTTGGACTGCATTTTTGAGGAAGGTATGATGGCTATTTGTACTGGTGGCCGAAACAGAAGTTCTATGGTGATGGCCACACCCGCTTCCCAAAAGCTGGGGCTTTCCTAGGCTCCGTCTGGGCGGGCAGGCTCTGGGGTCTGAGTGCTGAAGTGACTCAGAGGTTTCCAGGGGGAAGGGGCTCCATGCATCTTGGGATATGGCATCCTGTGCACCCTGGGAGATGCTGTCCCAGTGCACCCTGGGAGGTATCATTCTAGTGCATCCCAGTAGATGTGGCTCAGTGCATCCTGGGAAAATTACCCAATGCAGTTCAAGATAAAGGCCCAGTTTAGTGAATGCCTTATGTGATAAGTTTGTTTTTAAATTAGTATAATTTATGGCTTATCAAGACATAACTTTGTGTGGCTGTGTGATGACTTTTTTAGGGACAGGTGATTCGTACACCACAAAGAACGCCTAGGTTCCTCCTGCCCCCCTCTGTCCCCTGGGTGTGCGTGCTGTAAGCCTGCACTGGGAGGGTTAAGTCGTTTCTTTCACCTGGAGGCTGCTGTGCCCTTAGGCAGTTGGTAGACAAATGACATGCTGTCTGGAGAGGAGGGTGTTTAAATTATATTGCTAGAGTCTGGGTTGCCAAAAGGAAGCCCTCTGGGGAATCTTATATATTTGACATGCATTGGCAGTGTGTAATTGGAACCATGAGAAAGGTTTTTTTGTTCAAAGCTATTGAGGAGTTTCCTTATTTTAAACCTGTTGAATCTGGAAAGAGTTGTCTTTGAATTTTTTTTCTCTGATAATGACTTTTTGTTAAATTGTAGGGCAAAGACTTTCTACTCCATATATTGCCTCCTCTCCTCCAAAGCGCAGCCACTGAGTGGTCTCTCCCTTGTCCTCCGGGTCCTAGATGTCCGAGTGGGAAGCCCAGGGTGTTCTTTCACCCAGAAGAGTCTGAAGAAGGGCTGATGGTCCACTGGCAGCCACGAGCCCTGGGGTGCGGGTGGCAGAAGCAGAGCCGACCCAACCTTTCACCCTCCCACCCCCTGCCCAGTCACAGGCCTTACTATCCTCTTGGGATTAACTGGAGCTGATAGGCTCATTTTAAGTTTTCTTGTCTAAGAAGTCTATCATCTTGCTTTCTCTCCTCCTCAGCGGTTTTACTTTCTGCAAATCAAATTCCTTTCTAGTGACGCCCGAAGAAAAGGCTCCCACTGCCACCCGGTGATGGCTCTGCTTGCCCGTCAGACCCCGTCCGGCCGCAGAGCCTCTGGAGCGCTGGTAGCCACTTCTCTGCACACGAGTGCAGCCACCGATGTTGCAGGCGCTGCGAGGGGCCGACAGAGGTCTGAGTAGAAGGTGACAGGATAGATGCTGAAGGCTGTGCTGAGGATGGGATGCAGGCAGCAGGGGCTCTGCCAGGTGTGGGTGGTACTGGCAGGGAGCTCCTGAGGCCAGGCGGGTCTTTATTTCTCTGAGTCCGTTCTGCAGGAGGACACAGAGAAATCCAGCAACTTCACATTGTCAGTGGGCTGGCAGCTGCCCGAAGACAATCCAGCAGCGTGTTTGGGTACCAGGGAGAAAGTTGGGCTTCCCTGGTTACACAGAAAGCACAGCGCTCCCCTCCCCGCACTGGTTTGGCTCATGTCAGGTTACAGCTCCTAGCTCTCTCACAACTAATCTTTCCCCACAACTTGAAACTGAGAAGTGGGCCAGGTGAACCTATGGTTAGACTTTACTAGGCTGTCAGTTTTCCCAAAAGTAAATGCCAATCAAACCCCACGAAGGCCTGTTGGTACGAGGCCGTTGACCATTAGTGGAACACAAGTCCGCGGTCTGTGTCTTGTCCTCAGTCCCGATGGACCTTCCCAGCCAACAAGATGTCACTTTAGGAAACAGTCTCACTTCGATTGGGATCAGACACGTGGGCTTCCAAATAGGGGTCAGACCGTGGGGGTGCGATGGCAGGGCTCCCCCAGCAGCTCAGTGACCTTGGGGGGGAGGGTAAGCAGGTGAGGGTGGGGCTCTGTCCACACAGAAGTGGCCTTCTTCCAGGTGGGATGCTCCGAGCATCCCTAAGTGTGTCGCTGGGTGGGATGCCTGCACGAAGTGGACGTGGAGGTGCTGACTGCTGTCATTCATAGTTGTCTGTTTTGAAATTGATTTTGTCTGGTGGGCCGATAAATTGGGACTCAGCAGTCAGCAGCCAGCAGCCAGCTTTCCCTCTGGCTATGCAATTGCTGCATGGTCTTACCCAGAGCCGTCGGCAGCTGTGTTCAGGTGACAGATTAGGGAATCTGGTATGGCAGCGACACCACGTTTATGTTATGCTTTTCCCCTAAAGGTGCCACAGCCTGTTAGTTTTGACGCTCATCGGCCATGGACGGGCTATCCTATATTAGCACAGAAAGTATGAGCAACACTCGGAGCCGTTCCAGGTAAAACAGTGGAAGGCCACGTTTAGCATTTCAGATGTGGCACAGCTCAGGCAGTCGTTGAAAAGTCACTAACAGATGTGACTGCTCATCTGCCGCGGCGGGGCCTCAGGGGTCGTGACTGTGAGCTTCATGTTGAGAAGGCGGACTTGGCCAGGGCCGGGAGCGGAGAGCTTTTAAAATGCAACTTAAAGTGAATTTACGTGAACATTTACAATCTTATGGAAAATAATTGTCACATGTACATAAAGTACACTATACAGAATCAAACCCACTTTTTCTTGCTATTTAATTAGAAGCAAATATCCTTGGATACAGAAAGGCAGAAGGGTTACTTGTGGATAATGTTCACAGTCCTGCCTTGTCTCCATTGTTTTTTTTTTTTTTTTTTAACCTAAGACTGTTTTTGGATCCATTTCTCTGGAAGATAGTTTCTGTGGTGATAGGTGCACGCACGAATAGTTGATGCTTTAGTTTTCTTAACGTCACACGGGGGTGCCGTTCTCAGGCCGCCGGGCGGCGCAGCGGGAGCCTTGTGCGATGAGGGGCTCGCAGTACCGGCCGAGGGTGCTCGGAGGGACAAGGACGTGCACACCGGCACCCTGGGGGCTGGCAGTGACGCGCTGCCTGACCGTCCCTGGGCCTCCCCGCTGGCTGTTGAGCTGCGCCTTCGTTTTCTTTGTTGAGGGCTTGGTCTCACTCGCCTCTTGTGCTGGGACCATTACCCTCTCACGACGTCACGTGCGAGAGCTGCATGGCGGGCTTCTGTGGTGGCCCGTGTGGGAAGCCTGCAGTCCCTCATCCTGCTGGCAGCTGTGGCCGGGTGTGACACTGCAGAACACGGATGCTGTGGCTGTGTGCACGGATAGCTCACCTTCCCGTGCCTCTCACCCCGAGGGGCGTGGGGCATGGGGCGTGTCCTCCTCCCTTCCGGGGTCTGACCTTTCAGCGCCACGGACTCAGATGTTGACCAGAAGCATGTTGACCAGAAGCCCAGACACGATCTCCATCTCCTGGGACCCACTCTCCTCTCCTCACTTTTCTACCCACTAGTGCCAGCTGTCCGCGGCCCACACTTATAAACCAGGCGTCATTTTGTGGCAGCACCCTTGTCTGTTTCAGTCAGTAAAGTGGGACTTTCAGTGTGGTCTTTCAGAAAATTCCATTAAGTGTCACCTTAAAAAAAATTTAACATTGTGTTTGATTTTTAAATTACAATGTTTATGTAAGCTTTTTCTGTTACACTTTATAATTATTTTAAAAGGCTTTAAAATAGTTTGGTTCACTTATAAAATTAATTACATTTCTTTATACTTTAAAAACCTAATACATGAATGTGGTATTTTTAAGTAATTTATATGTCTCTAATAAGCAAAACCTTTCTAGGTACTTGAAAAGTTTTAGCCCTTTTAAATATTTAATTACTCTCACCACATGTCTGAAAATTCATATCTTTATATGAAAAATCACCTGTTATAGTAAATTACTCATTTAGACATTTTGTAATAGAACCAGGATAATCTGTTATGTATTTCAAATTATCGTAAACATCAGCTATTTCAGACCATTAAACGCATGTAGCTTGTCTGTCAAGTTACCTGGAATCATGGAGGTCACAGTGGGTGGACTTCCTATCCTTTCAGTTCTGATCGTGAGACTCCTCTGAGCAGAGGCAGTGCACCTGGGTGATGGGGTTCTCCTCTCCCCAGGGCTGCTCATTGGGCAGCTGCTTCGGCCCACACTTATAAACCAGGCGTCTTTTTATGGGTGCCTTGACAAGACTCCCAGGCTGGGTCCCCTGTGAATTGCAGGCCTGTCTTCCTGCACCCTCAGCAATTCTCCTTTTGAGTCTCCCAGTCTCCGGCTGCCTCCTGCATGCCCCCCACTCGGATTGAGCCCGCAACCCGAGCATGTGCCCTTGACCGGAATCAATCCGAGGACCTTCCCAGTCCACAGTCCAACGCCCTATCCACTGAGCCAAGGCTAGACAACTTTAAAAAACTTGTTCGCCTGATTTGAGCTGGTGGACTTCTGTTTTCCTTCTGCATGTTTAGTTTCTGACGAGGTCATCACTTTTACAGAATGACCTTGGGGTGGACTGCGCATATTGGTTCTGTCTGCCTGTTTGGTGCTGAGGGGCTGACAGTCGTGTGATCACAATAGACGCTATTTCTTTAAAACCACATGTGCTGCCTCCCTGGTCTCATTCAGCCTGTCTTCTCTGCCCAGTGGTTCCTGTGATCCTGAGGGCACTGACCTACGAGGAGAAGCGGGGTGCCTGCAGTGTGGGTGACAACGTCAGGGACGCCGCCTGCTATGTGTGCTGGGCCTTCGCACGTGCCTACGAGCCTCAGGAGCTGAAGCCCTTCGTGGCCGAGATTTCAAGGTAAGACTGTTAAGAGTCGTGGCGGCCAGAGCTGCCTCTGCTCTCGCCTCAGACGGAGCCCTTAGTGGCGCTCAAGGAGCAGCCAGCACAGCGCAGCCCCATGTGAGCCGACGACAGTCTGAAAGGAGGCCTGTTCCAAAAAAGCAGCTCAGGGTCCTGTTTCGCGGGTAAACAGCTCAGGCAGGTGTTAGGAGGAATGTTCTGGAAGCTTCGGCTGGCCTGTGGCTAGCATGTCCTTAGATGAAGGGACTGGGCATCTGGGAGAGTGGGAGGAAACAGGCGGGAAACTGAGCAGGTGGGTTGGCATCTAAGCATTTGCGTGCTCTGCAGAGAGAACGTCAGTGGTCAGCCTTCACCTCGAAGGAGTCCAGCCTTCGGGTGGCAGTCCTGCTGTGGAGGGCGGGACTCCCCGCCTGGTCCCCTCATTCTTGTGGACTCCCACTTGCGTATCCACTGGTCACAGATTGACTAGCATCTTCTTCATCGACACCTTCTGAACGAAAAGAGCACTTGTCAGCGTGGCTTTGGGAGACAGGGAGATATATTGTCTCTGGTTTCTTGGAGGTGTATGTTCACTAGCAGGCTGGTGGCCCCATCAGATGCTGTGGCAACGTGGCCCTGGGTTCTCGGTGTGTGTCCCCAGCGGCCCTTAAGGCATCTGCGTGCCCTTGTTGTCATGTCCCACTTTTAAGATCTGCTATATATATTTTTAAAAATATGTTTTTATTGATTTTTTACAGAGAGGAAGAGAGAGGGATAGAGAGTTAGAAACATTGATGAAAGAGAATCATCGATCAGCTGCCTCCTGCATAACCCCCACTGGGGATGTGCCCACAACAAAGGTACGTGCCCTTGACCGGAATCGAACCTGGGACCCTTCAGGCCGCAGGCCGACTCTCTATCCACTGAGCCAAACCGGTTTCGGCAGATCTGCTATATTTTTGTTTGGGAAAAAATGCAAAACAAATGTGTCCCAGTATAGTGAGATTTTTAGTTAATTTTTGTACTCTGCTTTGTTACTGCATTTTTGGGCGTGAATACATCCAGCCTTTGTGGTTGCTGTGTATAAAGTGGCCAGAGGAGGGTGTCCAGCATGGTGGCAGCCTCGGCGTTTGTCATGGTGGGTGACAGTCAGCTGATGATTGGACTAGGAAATGGATTTCAGAATGATCCTCCCACAGTTCTTAGGAGATCCCCCTCTTCCATCCCCCAGATCTGTGCCTGAGGCCCGGAGAGAGTGTGAGATCCCGGGGGCCTGCTCCTCGCCCTCCAGCCGGGTGCTCCAGTGAAGGGCGGTACCGCCTGGTGAGCAGCCCGTGGTCAGTAGCCCCTCCGCTTCTCTGAGCGGCTCAGAGCCTCCTCCTGCTCACCTTTTCTGGGGTCAGGAGAGGGACCACAGGCTGTTTACTGCCCAGGAAGTGCCTCTGGCCTGAATCTCTTGATCTTGGCTCCTATCAAAGCAAAGCCTGCAGGACAGCCTGGGAATTCTGATAAAGTTGAAGGAACTTCCTGGAAGTTGTAAAGATGTCTGATTCCTCCTCTCCTCCTTGAGGGAAGGGCAGAGTGACAGCGCAGTGGTCTTAGGAAGCCCTGGTCCTGGTGACCAATGGCCTGCAGGCAGGAGGCCCAGCATGGCGGAGGCCAGGCTGCCTTCCCCTCGTTCCTCACTCGTCCGTGAGGCTGAGGCTGCTCCTTGGCCAGCAGCTCCGTGATCCTTCTGCTTTGTAAGCAGGACTTTGCTGCTGTTAACATGCTGAAGCAGGGAAGGCACTCTGCTCCGGCTCCTGCTGCTCACCTTTTGGAAGTGGCTTCCGAAACTAGGAAATGAAAGCAGAGCAAGGCAGGGCTTACCTCAGCCGGCACAGGACAGCCAGGCTCTTCCCTGTTGGCAGTGCTGTGAGCAGGTGGGCGCTGTGTCGTGCCCACCGCACCGAGGACACCTGCCCAGAGGGGGCCGCTGGCAGGTGCTGAGTGAGGCACGGTCACACCGCGGAAAGGGTTCTGGCTCCTGAGCCATCCCAGTTCCCAGAGTGAACAGCCCTGCGCTTCTTTTCATCGGTCCGCGTGGCGAGCTTGCAGGAATCCTTCTCCTGGCCTCCCCGGCTGATCAGGGCTGAAGGCTGAGGGTTGGGCGAGGAAATTGGAATGTGGTGAGGCTGCACTCTGTGGGGACGGTGGGAGGGCTGGGCACGGGGTGGGTGGCCACCAGGCACCCACTTCTGTGCTTGGGGTGAAAGCTGCTTACCTACCACCCTGCAGGGATGAGTGTCGGCCACCATGCAGAGCAGTGACACGTGAATGTCCCGCCCTCCCATCCCCATGGGGCCTGTGGGACGGACAGGGCCTCTTCTTGCCAGGTCCCTGGCTCTTGGAACAGAGGCGGCTCCTCTAGCCACAAGCTAGTGACTGATGCTTTCTGAGACTTTAGAACTAGTTCACACACTAATCAGCAGCGACTTTATACCATGAAAACCAGTCTCAAGAGTTGCCGTGCTTAAGCCTGGCCTGAGCATGACATGGGCGTGAGAGTCGGTGTTGCTAGTTGGATTTGGTGTGGGCGGATCCATGCCCTGTGGACCTTGGACCCATGCCTGGGCGAGGCCTGCCCAGCAGCCTGAGGGGCCAGAGCCGAGCACAAGGTCTGAAGTGGAGCGTGTGTCACCGCACAGGGGACCTGGTTGTCATGGAGGCTGAGGTGCTGGCACAGTGTACTCCAGGGCCACCCTCTTTTATTCAGAAAAGGAAAGACCGATTTGGGGCCCACTGAGCTGTCAGCTTTCTGGGCATGGCTCATGGTGGGACTGGACGGAAGAGCCCGTGACTGGTCCGTGTGGCCAGGTGGGTGGTCAGCGTGGTCTGCTCATGTCTGAGTGAAGGCGACCTTGTAGATCTGCTGTAGCTAAATGGGTGGAGCCAGGCCTGCCCTCTGGGGGCCCTGAGTGTCCTCCAAATGAACCCCACAGGACTCCCCGTCCCCCACTGTGTCTGGACTGAGATGGGTGGGTGTTCAGAACACTCACCGTTCTGAGCTGGGACTCATTTAAGCACCTCGCTCCACATGAGAAGGGAGCATTTGCTGAGCTGGTGGCCAGCGTCCTCTGCAGAAACTCCTGTGGTTGCACTTGGGCACTTTGATCTCAGGGGAGGTTACTTTCCTGACTTCCTGGGCATGCCCCAGGCGTCGATTGTGAGTGTGCACAGCGTCGTACAGGGAGCCATCTGCCGGCAGGGACTCTCCAACTCCTGCTCAGCCTTTCTAATTTCTCCTAATTAGCACGGGCCCTAGTGGGCGTGTGGAGTTTCGTCCCCTTTCCCTGTCCCATCCCGGATCACTGAATGTGCCTCTGGGAGCCACGCCCCTCGGGCTTTCGGGCCAGTTTGGCAGGTTCTGAGGGAGGAGCCTGTGCTCTAGCTCTTCCTGGTCCATCTAGACACTGGCGTGAGGTGGGAGGGCTGCAGGTGAGTCACCGTGCCAGGTGAGCCCGGAGGATGCTGCTGGCCCCCACCTCTTTGCCTGCCCAGGAGTATCGGTTGGGGTGTGTCTTTTGAGATCTGCCTCCTTTGCTTTGTAATAAGTGGCCACATTTTAATTGTCAGCTTTTAAGCCCATTAGTCCTGGCACTGTGAAATGTTGATATCTTTAACCAGACTTTCACAAACTCTTCCTGCAGAAGTTGGCAGTGGAGATTAAAATGTAGTAATTCTGTAAATGAAGTGGGAATGTCTGATAAAAAAGAATCAGGGCAGCAATAACAGGGAGGCAGTAGGATTGGATGTGGTGAGAGGTCAGAGGTCAGACTGGACCGAAAGGCCACATAGTTAGAGGTCAGAGGTCAGACTGACTAGGCTGAAAGGCACCATGTGGTGACAGGTCAGAGGCCTGGCCGCCTCTTTACACCCCTGGAAGGTCGGGGCAAGTGCAGGGTTCAGCTGCCCACTTTCTAAGGAGCTTGCTGTTTATAATGTCACAAAGCAAGTTTTCAAGCAAATTTAATTGTTTTGAATGAGTTTGGGCTGCTTCTGAAAATCTATATTTCCTGAGATTAGACACAGACAGGTGAAGAGATGAGCAATTTTTTTTTGGTGGAAAGTAAACAGGGTTTCCTGAGAAAAGCCCACTGTAATTTAGGAACAAGGAAACCCATAACATTAAAATGGTGCAGAATGGCTGTGCTTTGTCTCTGATCCAGAAGCTAATTGGTGAGAAGGAAAGAAAAGGAGCTGCTGCCGGCCAGCGGGCGGGCCCTCACCTTCCAGCGATTTCCTCACCTGAAACTCTGTTGTAAATGGAGCTGCTGACATCAGCCTGCAGCCCTGCCCTGTCCTGGGCGAGCTCTGCTCCCCAGGCAACGCAGCCCTGGGGATTGGCTCCCAGATCTCTTCCTCGAGGGCAAGCTTGTCCTGAGAAATCAGGAAATGGCTTGCGTAGCTCAGAGCCGTGTCTTGTTCTCCCTGCGACCTTCTCTTCTCCGGGGCCCTGGCCCTCTTCCAGAAGAAAGATAACCCTTTTGTTTTTCAAGAAAAGTTCAGTGCTGATTACAGGTCAGAGTGCCCCTCACCTGGTCAACGCCCTTGGCCTTCGTTTTGGCTCTGCTGTGACTTACAGCAACGTGGAAAGTCTGGTGCTGGGAGCTTTACTTTTTCAGACTAACTCGGCCTTAGGCAGGTCTGGCATTTTAACTTGATTTGCAACTTTAAAACAATCATTGCTGGCTTGATATTTAAAATTTTTTAAACTCTAAAATTATCGGATTACTATTACTTAAGATAACAACAGTGTATTTTGTTTTTTATTCCTGTAAAACATTATATAAACTAACACAGATTGACTGGGGTGAGATATGCCCCTTGCTGTACCTGCCAATCAAAACCAGGTGGCTGGGACGCGGGCAGGTTTAGGCGTGCAGCTTCCATCTGCGCGCGCGCCCCCCCCCCCCCCGCCCCCCCTCAGACGAGAAAGAAAGTCCCTTTTTGTTTGACACAGACCATTTCTCTTGTTGGGAAATCCTGGTGAAGTATCGCCTGAACCCCTGAAGCGAAAGCAAACTGGGAAGACGCCTGAGAGGCGTTTCAGCCCTGGCAGCCCGGCCTGGCAGGCAGGCGTGTGCGCCGGCTCCCAGGTCGCTCTCCACGTGGCCTCTGAGACTGAGGCCAAGTGTGTGGCTCACATGTGGCCCTCCTTGCCGAGGGGAGCTGCACTGGACAAGGGAGCCTGTGGGAGCTTCCACCCTCACATTAACCAGGGTGGTCATACCTGGTTCTGTTGGAAACTTACCAGTATTTCTAGGGAAGCCAGCTTTGTTCTCAAAGTGAAATTAGAGTGGTTTTCTCAATTTAGTCCAAATCAAAACAATATTAAAAACCAGTTACATTTCATAGGTACATACACAGTTGATTGGTTGAATTAACTTAAGAGTCTATAGTGGTTAAAAACAGTGTGAATTTCTTTTTTCTTTCTTTCTTTTTTTTTTTTTAAACCATGTTTTTATTGATTTTTAGAGAGGGAGATAGAAGCATCGATGAGAGAGAAGCCTCGATTGGTTGCTTCCTGTATGGCCTCATTGGGGATAAAGCCTGCAACCCAGGCATGTGCCCTGACTGGGAATCGAACCCAGGACCTCTTGGCTACACCAGCCAGGCAAAAGCTGGGTTTTAAAGTGGTATTGTTACATTAGTCCACCAGCCCTCTGCCAGCTTCCCTGATGATAACCCCTCACGTAGCAAAACTGAGGACAGAGCCTGGTGTCACTGTTGGCCAAACTGCGGCCGGTACTTGGTGTGCTCCTCGGCCACATTTGGGGCATGTCCCAGACTTACGTGGGGGTGCTGGCCTTGACCCCTGTTGCGGTGGGTCTGCAGTTACCATGTTGTTTCCTTTATGAGTAACAGATGTTGAAGACTACAGGACTGTGCCCTTTCTCAATAGGCGTCACCCGTTTTCACGTCCATGGGTGGTTTTGCCGGGCCAGGTGCCGCCATGGTCACAGCACGTCTCTTCCCCTTCTCCTACCCCGAGAAGGTGTCTGCTCCCTCTATTAATTCGGGTGCTTCGGGGCTCGCTTTGTCCTGTGGGCGCTGGCCCTTGTATTGTTGGGATTTTCATGTAAAGCTGCTGCTCCTTTTGTTGCTCAGCTGCTCCACCTCTGGCCGCTGGGATCTGCTTCAGGGTGCTGGCTGCGGCCTCTCACCAGCACCTGTACTTTTAGTTTTAGAATATTTTCCTACTTCCTAGCCCGACTGATGCTCCAGGCTTATCTTTCTTTCTCTGCCCCATCCCTGGAACCAGCCACTGTCAAGAGTCTGTGTTCTCTTAGCGGAGAACGCCTTTCAGTCCGCATCCAGGAGTAGAGCTCGAAGGCCCTGTGTTCACAGGGGCACCTCCCGCCCCGCCTGCCCCGCCTGCCCCGCCCCCCACTACCCGTGGCCCCCGTTCTCTGCGGTGCTTCCTGCGCCTGCAGTCCGTGTGCAGTCGCTTCACAGCACCGAGGAAGAGTCTGTGCACTGTGTCCGTGGCCCCTCCAGCCCACAGGCCCTCCCGGTCCTCACGTTCCGATTGGTCACCTTGTCACGTACAGTTCTTCGGGTTTTGACAGATTGATAAAGTTGGGTTCCAAACCACAGTACCAGCAGAACAGTTCTGTCACCTGAAATTTCAAGTCATGCTTTGCAGCCAGCCCTCAGTCAGTTGTTTTCTGTTGTTGCCACAGTCAGGTGAGTCCTAGTCAGTCCTTAAGGATGACGGGCGATGACCCTCGGAAGGGATGTAAATGAAGCCTTGAGAGCGGGGTGTGGTTTGGGGGACCTGCCACCTGTAGGGCTCTTGTGACCCCATAGCTGTTTCTGCCCTTGGTCTGTCTGCTCCTGGGAGGGCATAGGGTTGGCTCCTGCAGCCTTTTCCCTGTGTGTCACCGTGGGCCGTGCCGTCTTCCCCTCCCCCCACTCCTCTTCTGGGAGCCCTGCTTCCGTGGCTGCCCCGGGCCTGTGCAGCCGGCCTGCTCCCGGGACTGTGCTCAGGTGCGCACTCCCTGTGCTCTCATTCAAATCAGGGTCAGCCACCCTCGGCGCACATATGGCGGCAGCTGCGGTGAGCCTGAGTCACAGACAGCGAATGAAAGGCAGGTTCCCAGTTAGTGTCGTGGGATCTGAGTCTCCGCAGGTTTCCTTTTAATCAGCTGTTTATCCCTTCCCCACAGCGCGCTGGTCATTGCCACGGTGTTCGACCGGAACGTGAACTGCAGGAGGGCCGCCTCTGTAAGTCCCCCCCTCTCGTTCCTTTCCCTGCGTGCGGGGCTCTGGCCTGTGCTGCTGTGTGAGGCTGGCCTGGCAGCCACGCTCATGATTCCTGTGTTGGCAGTCAGGGTTAGGGTTTCCGGCCCGGGTTGCTGTCAGACCAGGCGGGAGGGGAGGGTGGGCCAAGAGGCAGTCTGGGCTCTGGTATCTTTGTGAACCTTGGAGAAGAGGTGGAATGAAACCACAGAAATCATGATTTCAAGTTAAAGTAAATTTAACAAGTTACCGGGAAGTCCTGCACAGAGCATGGAAGTGCACCCTGTGCACCAGCAGATGCAGAGCCGAGGCAGCGGGAGTCACTGCTCTGTGCGAAGCTCACTGGAAATGGGTCGAGACCTGATTCCTGGGGATAAAATCTCTTTCCACGAAGCTACGTCCCCAGATACGGATGCATCCGGCCTGGTGGCACCTGTATATGTTCACATCCGCGTTCTGTGTGATGGTCTCCCTGCTCCTGGGCGGTGGTTCTTGAGGTCACTGGTTCCTGGGTCTGTTCCCCTCTGCGCCAAGAAGTGGCGGGCACAGCCGAAGGCTCTGATCCTTACAACCCTGGATTTGGCTTTTGTTTAACCAATTGCTTTGTCTCTATCCCCATTTTTTACATCTGAGGCCTTCACTAAGACATTGGTTCAGGCCTAGCATTAGCTGCCAGAGATCACTTTTCAGGATGTGTCTCATTTTATAACTTGAAACATTAAATTGTGTGTGTTTTATATTTTTATTGATTTCAGAGAAGGAGCAAGGGAGGAGGGAGGGAGGGAAGAAGGGAGGGAGAGAGAGAGAGAGAGAGAGAGAGAGAGAGAGAGAGAGAGAGAAACATTAATGATGAGAGAGAATCATTGGTAGGCTGTCTCCTGCACACCTGTCCCCCACTGGGGATCCAGCCCACAACTCGGGCATGTGTCCCTGACCGGAATTGAACCTGGGACCCAGTTTGCAGGCCAATGCTCTCTCCACTGAACCCAACCGGCTAAGGCTAAATTGTGGTTTTGAAGAGCACCAGGATGTACAGGCAGGACAAACCGCCCCGGCGCTCTGATAGCCACCAGTGAGGACTCTTACGGAAAAATAAAGCCACGGGTGATTTGTTTTGAGTCTGTCCCTGAGGTTCAGCAAAGGGCAAGGTTCGCTCACTCTGCTGTTTGTTCTTCTGTTCCTTAGGCTGCTTTCCAGGAGAATGTGGGAAGACAGGTATGTCTGCTTCTTCATTCCTACAACTTCCTGTAGATTTAGAGGCAGAAATACTAAAAACTGTAAACGGAGTATCTTCTTGCATTGTTAGGCCTGGGTAACGCATTTGCCTAGAATAAACTAACACTGAACACGATTCTGGTCACAGACTCACTTGTAAGGTGCCTCAGATGAGTGTTGACACAAGTTTTAGACAATTAGTAAGTGAATGTAGAGGTAATTTTATGCACATACACACGTCAAAAGTCAGTGTCTCATGCACTGCTGAGGGCCACCCGGTGTTGCCATTGCCCATGGGTGCTCAGGGGGGTGTGCAGAGGAGCCTGGCTCTTGGGGACAGCGATGCAGTCCTTGCCCGGCCCACATGTGGCATGAGCCAGCTTCCAGAAGCAGCGGCCCATGGCGCCTCGGTGCTCGCTGGCATCATCGTGCCGCTACGCTCTGAACCTCTCACTGGTCAGCCCTGGCTGGGAGGTGTAGCCTTTGTCCCGGAACGATTTGTGCTGAGGTGAGGGTGACAGGTTCGGACGCATGATGGGCCTGGTGGAATGGCCAGAGGCAGGTGATGTGTGGGAGACTCTGAGCTGAGCTCTGGTTGGAAGGGGTGAGAGGTGAACCTGGAGGTAAGTTCGGGCTGACAGTGAGTGTGTGATGAGGACTTGGCAGGCGGTATTGGGGGACAAGTGGGACTTGGACAGAAGTCGGGCTGCGGGAGCTGGGGGAACCTCGTGCAGAAGGCTCAGGAGGGAGAGGCAGCACCTGAGAGGAATGGACAAAACAGAATTCCAAGGTGGTGCCCGAACTCTGGGGAGGAAGAGGCAGGGTCAGGGACTACCTGAGCATTGCCCACCAGGCCTGCTTGTCAGGGACCTTGAGGTGGACAGGCTTGCCGTCCTGACCCCGGGGCCTGCATTCCATGCAGGGGGCGTTGCCTCCAGGGCTGCCGGAGCTGTGTGGACTGGGATGCTTTCCCAGTGTTGCTGCTCAGAGGTGGGCCTGGATGGTCTGGGGCCAGGAGGGGTGGGAGGGCAGAGGCAGTGGGAGAGGTCTACAGGGGAGGCCCCACCTCGGGAGCCACGGTGGCTTTTTTTCCAGCCATGGGTGAGTTGTGTGTACTGGTGAGGGTGGACAGTGCAGGCTCCTGCTGCCCACAGGTGGTGGGATGTCTCCTGTCTGCGTGTAGCTGGGTCATGAGGCAAATTGGCCTTTACATGTTGCCTGTGAATCAGACATCCCGTTGGTGAGTGTCCTGTCACAGTCTGGAACCAGCCCCACGTAGTTCCTGTGTGTCACTGACCGGAGCTGGTGTCCGGGCACGGGTCATCCTCAGGGACGGGACAGCCCACTGCTCATCTCCTTCCTCCCTGCGCCCTGCTCCTCCCTGTCGCTTTGGGGGTGCTGTGCCCATGGGGGTACAGGTGCAGGGTTGGGTGCTTGCTTGTCAGACTCCTGCCCGCTTTGCCGTGCCAGCCCCGGGGGGTGAGGAGGGACCCTGAGAGCAGGGCAGGCTGGGCCTCTTGCCCCCCTCCTGTGAGCCCACGGCCAGAAGGCTTCCACTCAGTGGTTGAAAGTTGATCAAGTATTGAAGTCTTTTTAGAAGACCTTTTGTTTTCAGATTTTTAAATACTGTTACCGGAGTGTTCTCAGTAATAACACGCAGACTTTGGGGCTGGGCTGGATGAGCCTCATGGGTGAGGTCCCCCTGTCTCCCCCTTTCAGGGAGCTTCTGGGTGTCAGCTGTCAAGCCCTGTCTCTCATTCTCTCTCACAGGCTATGTTGTGGCTCCTGTCCAGGGTTCCAGGGCTCCTGCGGGGAGCGCTGGCTGGGGTCCCTCTGCCTGGACGGGAGTGCAGGTGCAATGAATCAGTAGCTTTGATGCCGCTGAACCTGGATGTCTTGGATGGAGTGTGGCTGAAGGCAGGCTCCTACAACAATTTAAAATGGAAATGTTTGAGCCATTTGGAAAAATTACGTATTTTAAAGAGATTGGCATAGTTTTAGAGCCACGTCGGGCCGGGATAGATGCTCAGTGACGACTTGCCTGGCAGCCTGTGGGGGAGAGGTTGCAGGAGCCGCTGTCACACTGTCTGGCTGCCTCGTTGTGAATGTGCACGTATAGGATCCTGCGTGCCCTCCCGCGTTCACATTGTTGTCACCATTGTTCTCTGCTCTCCTTTTCCCCAGGGCACTTTCCCTCACGGAATTGACATTTTGACCACTGCTGACTATTTTGCTGTTGGTAACAGATCTAACTGTTTCCTAGTTATAAGGTAAGTTTTTACTGTCACAAAATTTAACATTGACCCAGATGGCTACAGTCAGTTCTGCCCTTCCTCCCTTCGTCCCGGAAGGTCATTTGTGTGATTGCAACTTAGTGTGAAAGGGTGCAGGTGGGCCTGGGAACCGTTATCCGCACTCATGTTTCTCATGAGTGGATGCGTCACACCATGTGTTCCGTTTATGTGAAACTTCAGGAAGTGCATGGGGACAGGCACTTCCGACGGAGCCACGGGAACGGGGGCCGAGCGGGCGGGGAGAGGTGCACAGAGGGAGAGACGCTGGCTCACTTTAAAAAGCGTTAACGGTTTCGGAGCTGACGCAGTGAGCGTGCGCTCTGGTCACCGCTCTCCACTCGTCGTCCTGTTTCTGCTCAGGGCTGGTCTCCATGGAGAATGGCCGCGGGCCAGGCCGTGCCCTGCCTGCCTGACAGCTGTCCTGGGCATCACCTGTGTATTGAGCTTCTCAGAAAGAAACCTTGGTTGGGAGTGACTTGCTTTTTCTGCATCAGGGCATGTGTTCTCCCGGTGGCGGTGTGTCCCGGCTGTCTGCGTGCTCAGAGGAAGAGGTGTTTGAGGAATCAGGTCAGGAAATGAATATTTAACATCCCTGAGTGCAGTTTGCAGCAGTTACAGCGACTCTTTTACTTAGGGACCGAGGGTTGGGAAATGGCTTCCGTGTCCCAGTCCACCACTAGCTGCAGCGTGAGGAGGACAGCGCAGGTGCCATGTGCTATGAGTTCCTCTGAATTGGGAGGAGTGGGCCCCGCGTTTTTAATCATTGGCCATCATGTGTCCTGGGGACAGATTCTGACACTGTGACGTACAGACTCGCAGAAGCGGCATTTCCCCGTAACTGGCGTGGACATACCTTTTTCAGAAATGCCGAGTTTGGCCTCTTTCCCAGAAGGACTCTGTGACTGGACATGTCTCGTCTTTAGTGTCCTTCCCACCCGCCTCCACCTTCTCAGCCTCTGTGCCTCAGCAGTCTTCCCGTGTGCCTCCTGTCTTCCCGTGTGCGTCCTGTTTTCCTGTGGTGGTAACACCTGAGCACACATCGTCTGCGGAGAACCTGCCCCCTCCGAGGGCTGCATGGCTAACTAACAAGCGGTGCTTCGCCTTGGCACCCGCTCATGCCGCTGAGGTTTCTGGGGCACATGGCTCGTCTGCATTGCCGGAGATGTTTGGGGAAGTGACCTTGCTCAGGGTGTCTTTCACTGCATTTCGCCTGTGTGCCAGAGGCAGTCTGTGAGGGCGGGGCCCAGTGGTCATGGGGAGCAGGGTCTGTGGCTGCACCCTGTGATCCCAGAGGACTTGGGGCTGTCCCCTTGGCCATGGCAGGGCAGACTACCTGGGTCTTGCCTGAGTGGAGTGAGGGGAGGGGTGCGTGGCAGAGGTGTGCATTGGGGGGACAGCCCGGGGTGTGCGAGGAATTGGGTTGTCCTGAGGCTTTGGGACGAAGTTTAATGGTCGATCTGCATGTTAAATGCGATGGTGGCTGCACTTTGGTAACTAGAAGCAGGAAGTGGTCAGGGCCTTGCCCGGTGCGGGACAGTCAGGGGACAGGGCGGGTGTGCTGGAGTGAGAGGGTGCTGGCAGCAGGTTGGAGGGTTTCGAGAACGAGGTGCTGGGGTCGCCCCAGGGTCACTTGCAGCTGGGCACATCTGTGGGTTGGGGAAGGTCAGGTGATCAGCATCGCACCTGATTGCGAGGGGCTCATGTCTCGGCTGAGTGGCTGCAGGGCCTGTGGCAGGTGTTTGGGGAGTGGGATTTCCACACACGGACTCGAGTTGCACGGATGGAAGCACCTGGGCCGTGGGGCTGGGGGGCAGTCCTGTCTGGTGGTCATTTCAGCCGCTTTCTTAAAAATGCCGATGGTGCAGGAATCTGCACGAGGGTACGTGTGCCAGCCTCTGTCCCCCTCATCGCCACCAGGTTCCTGTGCCACTGCCATGGGCACCCTGGCCTGAGCTGTGTTCCTCTCGTGGCTCTGGCTCATGCACTAGAGGTGGCCTTCCGTCCTCGGGGCACTGAGGTGGGTGCACTCGCCACAGAGGGGTGTCTGGGTGTTCCGATTGTGGCCCTCACAGATGCAGCTGTGGGGACTCCCAGTGCCTGCCTGTGGGTGGACGAGCCCCCGCTTCTCTGGGTAGGTGCCAGGAGCGGAACGGTGGGTCCTCATGGTAATCAACTGCCAAATGTCCCAGCAGGTTTGGCTTCGTGGATAGAGCGTTGACCTGTGGACTGAGGGCTCCCAGTTCAATGCCTGGATTGTGAGCTCGGTCCCCAGGAAGGGGAAGCTGATCAGTGATTCTCTCTCATCATTGATGTTTCTCTTCCTCTCCCTCTCCCTCTCCCTCTCCCTCCCTCTCTGAAATAAATAAAAAAATATATTTAAAAAAGAAGCTACCAAATCGTTTTCCAGGTGGCAGCGCCCACTGGCCGGGGAGCCCTTTGTTCCCTCCCACCCTGCAGCCTCGCGTGGTCAGTTTTTATGGTTTCCGCTCTTCGGTGGGTGTGCAGGAGGAGGGGCTGATTTGCCTTCCCAGTGACTCATGACAGTGAGCATCTTTTCATTTTTGACAAATCTGTTGCTTGTTTGTTGTTTTCTTGCTGAGACTTGTGTATTCTGAGTGCAGCTCCTTCTTCAGATCCAGAGTCTGCAGATGTTTTCCTAGTCTTTGGCTTTATTTTTGTACACCCCCTTTTTATACATATAATTTGCATATAGTAAAATTTACTCATTTAAAACGTGGTCAGCACGAGGAACATTCCGTCACCACAGCATCCTCTTGTCCTAGCCCCGGCTGCTTCGAGCCCTCTGTCCCCGAGTTCACCTTTTCTGGAATGCGTGTGAGTGGGATGAGGTGTGTGTGGGCTCCCATAGCCTCACAGTCATTCTGTCTCCATGTCCTGACACTTGTCTCCACTGTGGTCCTGGGTGCGGACCTAACTGGCAGTGATTGGCACGCTCTGTTGGTTTGTCTCTTGCTGTTGTGAATTCCCTGAACAGATAGATTTCTGACATTGCAGTCCTGTGCGTCCTTCTTGCCGTGCAGTGTGTCACATTTTTCTGGTAGCCGTTGGCTTGGCAGCAGCCCTGCAAGTCCCTGTGCTCTGAGCTCTCCAAGGAAGCAGGTGTGCTGTTCCCTCTGTAGACTGCTCAGAGCACAGCATGCCGTGCGGCCAGCTCAGTGGCTTCTCCCTGTTCCCAGCATCCGGTTAGTGACCTGGTTCTGTCACTTCTGCATCCCTAATAGCCCTCACACGTTCCTCGTCCTGCTTCTCCACTCAGCTGTCGCCTTTGTCCAGTTCCCACCACCCTGAACACTTGAAGAGCCTGCCACCGGGCTTCCTCCCGCCACTGTCCAAAGTGCTGGTCGGAGGCCCCTCGTTCCTGTTACACAGCCTGCTGTCCCCTCAGGCTCTTTGCCCTCACCCTCACCCTCTGCTGGACACCTCTTGGTTTGCACTTGGCTTCTGCACACATGCTGGTGGGCGCTCAGCAAGTGCTGGGCAATGCCTGGTGGGCGCTCAGCAGGGCGTCTCCGAGGTCGGCCGCTAGTTGGTGCCAGAGCACACCGGCGCAGGCCTCTGCTCCTGAGAGGCCAGAAGTCATTCCTCTGCCTGTGTTTCTGGAATCCCGCCAGCTCCTGGACACTGGCCTGGGGCGAGCCTGTCTGTCGGTGGTGCCAGGGGCCCTTAGATGCTGTGGGACCAGGGGTCAAGGCTCAGCTCCGTTTCCGGCAGCTGGTCTCCTGTCTGATGTTTCTATTTTTCCTTCTGACTCTCTCTCAAGCTATTTCATCCCATTCGAAGGGCTCTCAGCCCACCCACTTTGGAAGCAGCCTCTGCTTTCCTTTCTCTCAGTCCGAGCACACTTTCCTCGACCTTACACCGTGGCACCAGCATGCCTGCCTGGCACTCGTGTTCATCCCGGCATGCACACACATGTGCCCACAAAGGACCCGTGTGCAATTGTGTTTCCCCTTGGTTTTCTGTGCCATTCACTTTGTCTCTCAGCTGCATTGTCACATGTGGGTGATGATGACCAAGTCCACAGTGGGTGGGGTGTGGGGTGACATGCGGGTTCAATTTGTGTCAGCGATGGGCTGTGTTAGAGGCAGGAAGTGTAACAGTGTGTTTTGGGGGAAGGCGATACATGTGCTTGTCAGTTCAGAAGGTGCAGGAGGGCATTCGTGTCTGTCTGCCTCTCTTTCCGGCCTCCCGGTTCCCTCCCCAGGTCCCGTTGTCTCCGGTTTCTTACTTCTTCTAAGATGTGGTCCTTTCCCATGTTTAGGTGTATTGACTGCCTTCCTTCCACCCACGCCGAGTGAGGCGCATGTGCACAGGGTGGGAGCCACTAAGTGCTCATCAGCTGTTGTCTTTTCAGCATGTTCATTGCCGGCTTCCCCGAGTACACACGGCCGATGATAGACCACCTGCTCACCATGAAGATCAGCCACTGGGATGGGTACGTGTTGGGTTCTGGTTTAGGTGATGGGACCTCAGAGTTCTTTTGTGAACCACATTTTATTTTTCTTATTTATTTTTTATGGGAGTATACCTGACTTACACTATTACATTAGGTTCAGGTATTTCACAGTGATTTTACCCTTGCAGAGTTCCTTACAAACACTCTTTAGTGCCATACCTTTATCGGAATAGGTATTCTGTTACACCGTTATAATGTGTGTTTTTAAGAGGTATTGGTCCACTTGTTATCGTTACCATTTTCATGTACAGTTCAGTAGTGTTAAGCACATCCACCTTGTGAAACGATCCCCAGAACTTTTCATCTTGCACAACTGAAACTCCATCCCCATTAAACAATGACTCCCTTTTCCCCCTCCAGCCCCGGCACCCGCCGTGCTCCTTTTTGTCTCGATGCATCTGACTGTCTAGGGGCCTCACACAGTATTTGTCCCTTTGTGACTGTCTGATTTTACTATGTCCTCAAGGTCTATCCATGCTGTAGCAGGAGCCAGAATGTCCTTCCTTCTTAAGGCTGAGTGATATCCCATTGTTGGACATACCACATTTTCTCTTCCATCATTCATCGACCAACTCTTAACTTGCTTCTATTTCTTGTCTGTTGTGAATCATGCTGCTATGAACAAGAATGTCCAAATATTTTTTTAAGTCCCTGCTTTTCAATTTTTTTGAGTATATACCCAGAAGTAGAATTGCTATATTATACAGTAATTCTATTTTTAATTTTTTAGAAACCTCAAAAACTATGCTGGTTTTCCTGTGTCTGCATCATCTTACATTTCCACTGGCAATCTACAAGGTTGTAATTTCCCCAAATCCACACCAGCACTTTTTAATGTTTTTTTTGTTTGTTTGTTTTTTCTTTCTGGGTATGAAGTGATATTTTATTGTGGTTTACCCAATGATTATTGACGTTGAACAGCATATCTAATAAAGAGGGAATATGCTAATTGACCCTTTCACTGTTATAAAGATGGCAGTGCCCACAGCCAATAAGGAGGGAATATGCTAATTGAATGTCCCGCCCTCAAAGGTGGCAGAGCCCACAGCCACGAGATGGTGATTGTGATGCCCAGGTGCACCCGCCTCTGGAGTCCCCCAGTCTCCTCAGCCCCCCAGCCGCCCAGGACCAGTCCGAGACTCGGATAACTAAGGCCGGCCAAGGCTTGCACTGCTGGCAGTGGCAGCAGCAGAGGTGTGATGGGGTGTCGTCTTCCCCTGATTACCGAGTTGCCTCTTGTCCCGGAGGGCTCCCGGACTGTGGGCTGAGAGACCCCCCTCCAGTGCATGAATTTTTGTGCACCAGGCCTCTAGTTTTTTCATATGCTTGTTGGCTGCTTGTAATTCATCTTTGGAGAAGTATCTCCAAATGCAGTTAATCATTTGCTGTTGAGTTTTAGGAGTTTTTTCTCTATTCTAGACATCAGCCCTTATCAGACACGATTTGCAGATGTTTTCTCCCACTCCATATGCTGCCTTTCCCTCTGCTGATTGCTTCCTTTGATGCAATCAGTAATTTAGATTTTGATGTACTCCAATTTATCTAATACCAACTTACCTTTTTTTTTTTTTTTTTTTTTTTTTTACTTTTGTTTCCTATGCTTCTGGTGTCATACACAAGAAATCATCGCTAAATCTAACATCATGAGGCTTTCTCTTCCGTTTTCTTCCAAAAGCTCATAGTTTCATGTCCTCTCAGGCTTCTTCCTGTCTTCTGAGTCCATGGGGATGTGGGAGGTAGGGATGCTTTGCCACCCAGCTCTTGGAGGTGGCAGCTGTGCCTGGAATGGGCCTGCGTTTGGTGCTTCATTGGGCCAGTGCTCTCATTCAGGTTGTTCTTTGTTTGGGTATTTATTTTCAATAGTGGTTTTGCTCAGTGGCCAGTTGACTCATGTAGACTGTCTCTCTTTTCATGAGTTGAATAAAGCTAGAATAATCAAAGAAAGGACCTAACAATTTTTCTGTCCCACTTGGTCCCCAGGGTCATTAGAGAGCTGTCAGCAAAGGCGCTGCACAACCTGGTCCAGCAGGCACCCGAGTACAGTGCTGCTCAGGGTAAGTGAGTTCTAGCCATCCTGTGGGTGCCCCCCCCCCCCCATACACATGCACACACAGGCACATGCATGCTTGGTAACAGAAAGCCGAGGACGGGCCACCCTACTAGTTTTAAGGCCTGGAGGAGCTGAAAATAACGTGTTTCTCCTTTGCTGAGAATCACTGGACAGAACACAAACTACTGCCTCCGTCTCCAAGGATGGGTGCTGCGGGTTGCTGTGGTGTGTCCACTGGGCACTCCCAGGCGGGGCCCCTGCGTGGGTGCTGGTCACAGCGGGGAATTGATGGAATCCTGTATGTCATGTGTACTTCAGAAGTAGCTTTTTTAAAAAACAAAACAAAATAAGTGAATGATTGAACATGTAGTCAACTTTTTAAAGAACGAGCTGCCTCCTGGGTGCTCAGGCCATGGGAGCAGCCTGCCAGGCCGTGCACTGACTCTCAAGAGCACAAGGCCCACTCTGGCTGTCCTCCGGACCCATCCCCTCCACTGTCGTTAGGGGAGAACCCAGGAGTCCATCTCGTCTTTTCTACTGGGAATAAAGAAGCATCCGATTTCAATGTGAGGACCATACACACATTGCTTGAGATTATACTTATTCCCACCAACATTTCCTAGAGGCAGTAGTGGTGGGACTGTGGTTCTTCCTCTGTAGTGACTGATTTTACGTGTGTGTGCGGTGACACGTTCTGGGAGCCCGTGGTTCTGAGGCCCTTTCAACCTCGTGGTCTGCTCCTTAAGTAGGAACCTTGCATGGTGCGCCCTCACCTGTCATTGATGATCTGTGGGAGGACCTGAACCTTGATCTTCCATAGAGTTTCTTCCCAGTTCAGGAGTCCTAATGGTGCCCAGATAAGGGGTTTCCCTGACCTCAAACCCTGACCTTATCCGCTGCTGCGTGGAGTGCTCGGCTTGGACGCCGTCGGCTGCTCCAGCCTCCGCACAGCTGCACTTGTGCCTTTAGGAGAGCGAGGCTCCGAGGGCTGGGGGGCTCTGCTTCCTGCCCAGAGCACAAGGGCCCTAGAGGCTCCTCCGCCCTGAGCAGCATCCTGGGTAGCGGAGGTCCTGCAGCTCGGCCCTGTCTTGGTCTGCGCAGGCAGAGCCCTGCTGGCCACTCAGCTCGGGAGAGATCTCGCCCCATGCCAGCCACCTGTGCCCAGGGAGCCTGGAATCACGTGCTGCTGGGGAGTGAGAGGCGTCTCCTCGGCCGTGGCCTGCTCACTGGCCGGAACGCCGGGCCTGCCTGTTGCTCCCTCAGTTGAGCTCTGGGTGTCATAACCATCCTGACAGAACGGGCAGCAGAGGCCTTCCTCCCTCTGTGTCCTGACTCACGGAGTGCACGCCCCTGTGCCTTGTCCTGCCGTCCTTTGCAGTTTTCCCACGCCTGCTGTCGATGACACGGAGTACGGACCTGCACACGCGGCATGGGGCCGTGCTCACCTGTGCAGAGGTCGCCCACAGCCTCTACAGACTGGCCGTGCAGGAGGACAGGTAGGAGAAGCCCTCCTCCCGCCCAAGCATGTGGTCGAGAGCCGGGACACGTCCACTTCATTGGGTTACATGTGCCCATGGGGCAGCGTCTTCACATTTTATTGATGAATTGGTCGTTGGCCCGCCCTCCTCCAATGAGTTACGGCCTGTGACGGGAGCCAGCGAGCGTGTGGCCGATGGGGCCACTGCGGCTGTAATCGTTACGTACAGGCAGATAGCAGATCTTGTGTTTCCCCGTGCACATCCCGGCTGTGTCCCGGCTACGTCCCCCCACTGTGGGTCCCGCGTGTGCATGGCACCCTACTCACAGTGCCTCAGCCTCGGCGGACACGCAGGACCCTCAGAGTGCCCTCATCACCTCTCTCTGAGGAAGTAGGTTAGGTACAAAAGCAGAGGGGTTTTTGGAGATGGTGCTGAGTGGCTCCTGCATCCTGTACTCTCCATCGTTTGTCACTCGATAACCTGGAATCCCAGAGCACGAGGCGAGCCGGTCCACCCGAGCTTCTCGTGGGGAGTGGGTGTGATGGTGAGGAGGCCGTGGCCCGGGAGCAGATCCGCACGTGGGAACGTGGGGGAAGCAGCACTTGGCTTTGCTTTCCTTTCTTCCCAACCCCCTTTCCTCAGAAGTCAGAGCCACCACGCAGGACGCTGTGACCCGGTCCTCAGCCTCTGGTTTGAGAAAAACTGTGTCACGTCAGCCGGTGGTTCTGGGGACAGAACGATAGCGAGAGACAGAGCTCACCTTTCTCCTGACCTGAGGGCTCAGCTCACTGCCCAGCTCAGCTCACCACCAGCTCCCAGAGGGGCGGCCACGGGGGGAGTGGGGAGTGGTGCCTGCGGCTGAGGGCTGGACAGCCACACAGGAGCCTGATCCCCCAACTCTGCTGTGAGGGTGCAGATGTCACCCAGAGGCCCACCCAGGTCCTGTTGGGTTAGTCCCGTGGTCTTCTCCACCAGACCCCCAGCAGACAGACAGCAGGTATCAGCAGTGATCGTGTGGCTTGCACAGTTTGGGCAGTCACCTTTGGGCGGCAGTGAGGCTGTGCTGGAGCTCCTGTCTGTCAGGCCCACACCTTCGCCGGTCAGGTCTCCTTTCCAAGCGTCACACCGGCAGCTGTGAGCCTGCGGCTCCCCTTCTGTCTCTGTGGTCAGCAGGCTGCACCCGGGTCCCAGCTTGACTGATGTGGCCCCTATGGCCACCCTGTGAGTGGGTGTTGCTTTAGGGGGCTGCCTTCTGCAGGTGTTTGGGGGAGCAGGCGAAGCGCCTAGCATGAGGTAGGTTTCTCTGAGCCCGGGCCCCGTGGTGCTCAGGGTCTCACTGCTGTGTTTGAACTCCTGTAGGCCGGTAGCAGACTACCTGGACGAGACGGTGGTGCAGGGCCTGAAGCAGATTCACCAGCAGGTCTGTGGGTCCTAGAGTGTCCACCTGATCTCAAGCTCTCTCCGCCCTCAGCCGGTTCGAAGGCTGGCGCTGCCTGGACCGGAAGCTTCCTGTGAGGCTCAGCCCTGGGCAGTGCAGAGCGGGCTGTCAGCCGGGGAGCAGTCCTCCGCTCCATAGGCCAGCTCCTCGGGGTCGCGGCGGTGGGAAAAGCATCTCTCCTCGTATGGCCGAGGCCCAGGTGCAGGCTGGCGGGGCAGGTAGCTCACAGGCCTCACGCTCCCTTCTGTCTGGGTCGCGGCCTGTTCTCACAGCGCCAGGCAGCACTAAGGCCTTGGATTCTGAGTGCCTGCATGGCAGCGTCCTGAGACTGAAGTTACACCCGAGTGTGGCGTGCTCTCTGGGGACAAGGGCTGAGGGCTCTCTGAGTTTTCAGCTTCTCAGAGGTGCCTATGATTCAAAGAGGGAGTCCATGAGCTGCGTTCTCGGTGTTCTAGGACAACCCCGAGCCAGGAGCAGGCATTGGATGGCTTCCCTGTTTGTGGCCCAGTTAGACTCCGGGTTTTTTACGTAATAATGCACCTTAGGTCTTAGCCTCTTAGCTGCTTGTGCCACAAGCTTGCTGTATGATCTGGCTGAGCCATTGGTCTTTTTACTTAGAGGTCTCACTCTACAATGGAGTCTGGCCTGTTTACCTCCCGCTGTCAGGACAGCGTGATGCCTGAGAGCCGGTGGTGCTGGCTCCCTTGCGGCCCCCTCGTCCTGTAGAGCGTGGGTGGAACCTCCCTCCCTGGAGTTCTGGGGAACTAAGGGCCGTATGAGCGCTCAGTCCCTGCAGCCTAGGGGTTCTGCTCAAGAGGCCATCTAGGAGCGCAGTCATGGCTCCGTCAGTCCTGGACCCTCACGTCTGGCCAACCTCTCTGTGCCCTGGTTTCCCTCCTACACCCCCCCTCCCCCCCACTGGGGATGTGCCCGCAACCAAGGTACATGCCCTTGACCAGAATCGAACCTGGAACTTTTCAGTCCGCAGGCCAACTCTTATCCACTGAGCCAAACCGGTTAGGGCTTTTTTTTTTTTTTTTAACAGAGAGAGGAAGGGAGAGAGAGACTCATTGATGTGAGAGTGAAACAATTGGCTGTCCTGAGGATTAAACAAGAGAACAGGAGCAGGAGGCTGAGGGAGATGCTTGCAGAGAGCGAGTGGGCTCCATCCCTGCTCTCTCACGGTTAATAGACTCACCTACTTTAAAACCCAGATGACCTATCTCACTAAGAACTTTCTGTTTTTTAATTTTAGCTTCACGATCGACAGTTATACAGGTAAGCTTTACAAACCCGAGTTCTCATGTTTTGTCTTGCCGAGTGAGCACACTGCGTGGTCTGCTAGCCCCTCAGTGCTGAGTGGGACTCCTGTCCGGCTGCCCAGCGGGGTCTCTGTGCTTGTTTATTGAATGTGTGTCACCGTCATTCCCGTTAAGAACTGAGAGGTCTCACCTGTTGGTCTTCTAAGCGTGTGGAGGTTGACTTGACGCTGGTTGGAGTGTGGATTCGGACAGGTGTAGAGGTTGCCGAGGGTCGTGTGGCTGTGGCCCCAATAAGGCAGTGTGCTTGACACTTCCTCCTCCTCCGTCCGCAGCCTGCGGTCTGCTCTCCGGCACCAGGGCAGTCTTCTGACCTTGTTCTGTGAAGTCTTGGGCCTGGTGTCCTCTGGCAGCGTCTCTGACCTGCGGCGGCCCTGCACAGGCCCCCTGTGGGCTGTGTGGTCCTCGGGGATGCGGTCCTCGGTGCTGTGCATGCTCGGTGCTGTGCAGTCCTCGGTGCTGTGCGGTCCTCGGTGCTGTGTGGTCCTTGGTGCTGTGCGGTCCTCGGTGCTGTGCATGCTTGGTGCTGTGCATGCTCGGTGCTGTGCGGTCCTCGGTGCTGTGTGGTCCTCGGTGCTGTGTGGTCCTCGGTGCTGTGGTCCTCGGTGCTGTGCGGTCCTCGGTGCTGTGCGGTCCTCGGTGCTGTGTGGTCCTCGGTGCTGTGGTCCTCGGTGCTGTGCGGTCCTCGGGGATGCGGCCCTCGGTGCTGTGCATGCTCGGTGCTGTGCGGCCCTCGGTGCTGTGGTCCTCGGTGCTGTGCGGTCCTCGGGGATGCGGTCCTCGGTGCTGTGCATGCTCGGTGCTGTGCGGTCCTCGGTGCTGTGCATGCTCGGTGCTGTGTGGTCCTCGGTGCTGTGGTCCTCGGTGCTGTGCGGTCCTCGGGGATGCGGTCCTCGGTGCTGTGCATGCTCGGTGCTGTGCGGTCCTCGGTGCTGTGCATGCTCGGTGCTGTGTGGTTCTCGGTGCTGTGCAGTCCTCGTGCTGTGGTCCTCGGTGCTGTGCTCCCTGCTCGCAGGTGACGGCGTTGGGCTGTCCCTCTTTGCGTCTAAGACATGGAGGCCTTCCAGAAGCGGCTGTGATCTTTCCCTCCTGTGGCGGGAGCTGCTCCGCATCCTCGTTGGCTGGGTGGCCTCGACTGGAGCCAGCCCGGGGGGTGTGCATGCGTTTCCCGGGAACCAGGTGCCTTACGCCTCCTGTCTTCTGAGAAGACACTGTTGAGGTTTCTTGCTCGTTAAAATAACCTCATGATCTGCCTCCTTACTGAGCTGTCAGCATCTCTACGTATTCTGGATATGAGCTCTTTGTAGACATAGATTTCCCAGTATTTTCTCCCTGTCTGTAGTTTGTCTATTTATTTTTCTTAGTGCCTTTAATTTTATTGATTTTTATTTAATTTTATTGATTTTTTTACAGAGAGGAAGGGAGAGGGATAAAGAATTAAAAACATCGATTAGCCGCCTCCTGCACACTCCCCTGGGGATGTGCCCACAACCAAGGTACATGCCCTTGACCGGAATCGAACCTGGGACCTTTCAGTCCGCAGGCCGATGCTCTGTCCACTGAGCCAAACTGGTTAGGGCTTTTTTCTTCTTCTTTTTTTTCCTTTTTTTTTTTTTAACAGAGAGAGAGGAAGGGAGAGAGAGATTCATTGATGTGAGAGTGAATTGGCTGCCTCCTGCACGCCTACCAGGGATTGAGCCCACAATCCTGGCATGTGCCCTGAGCGGAATTGAACCAGCAACCTTTCAGTGATGGAATGATGCCCAGCTGAGCCACACAAGCCAGGGTCTTCTTAATGGCTTTGCTGTTGTCGTTAACCTTCACCCAAGGTGTCTTCTCCATTGATTTTTAGGAAGAGTGAAGGGAGGGAGAGGGAAGAAGAGAGATAGAAAGAAGAAAGTGGGGAGAGAGAGAGAGGGAGGGAGAGGGGAATATGAGGAGACATGTCGATTGATTGCCTCCCACACATGCCCTGAGAAGGGCCCGGGGATTGAACCTGTGGTCTTTGGTGCAGGGCCGTGCACGTCAGCCTCTGTTCTTGGCGTCTCTTCCCACCTTCAGCTTTCCTGAGCACCTGGGCCTGTGCAGGGTTCACGCCAGGCCCCTCCCCGTGCGAGTGTTGACACCAGGAATGTCCAAACCTATATTGAGTTTTTATGAGTTTATTGGAGCCAAACTGATGACAGTTCTGGGAAGCAAAATCTCATCAGATTGAGAAAATGCTGTGGAGAAAGGTAGTTTTGCAGCTTCTTAGATACATTGGAATCAAAGGGGGAGATGAAAGCAGGGTCACACGACATCCACTGGTAAATTAGGGAGCGAGCAGAGCAGGAGTTCTCTGGGGTTGGATAAGAGTAAAATGGCGAGACATTCTCTCACATCAGCGGCAGGTACTGGGCAGCTGATGACCTTAGGGCAACGAGATAGCGGCGAGGGGTTCTTCAGGCTCGTGCTCCGGGTGGGCCCCGCGGGCTCTGCAACGGGAGATTCCGCTGACGTCCCGAGGTTTGTTATTGCAGATGCAAAGGCCATAGGCTCACTTGAGGTGAAGGCTGACCTTTGTCAGGGAAGCTGCAGGCAGGACGTGACCCCGCCATGACCCGCTGATAGTGAGGACTGGATGTTCAGACCAGACCGTTCTGTGTGGTCATGTGTGTCCCTGAGCTTCAGGTGAAGGGCGGGGACCCTTTCTGCTCACACTAGACCCTTCACTCTTCCTCCCCCCGGAGCTGGTGCTGCTCTCGCTGAGCTGGGTGTTCCCAGCTGCGCCCGGCGTCCCTCTTCCCAGACTCCATTTTCCAGCCTCTGAACCAGTTTCCTCTGCTCCATCCACGTCTCTGACATTTACAGCGGAGGCTGATCTGGGTCCTGTTACTCTGTCTGGGCCAGAAGCCCAAGCCTGTGAAATGATGTTCTGTCTCCGAGAGGGTTTCTCCCGTGCATATTCACCCGTTTCCTGTGTCAGCCTTACACGTCGGCTCGATGTGACTGAGAGCCGGCAGGGCGGCAGGGCTCTCCTCCGGGTTCTGTTCACACGGAGGCAGGTGGATGCTTCCCGGGCTGGTGATGGCACCTTCCTGGTGTCTGAGATTCCTGTCATTGCTTGTTGTTTGTTCATCCTCACCCAAGGGTGTTTTTAGAGAGAGTGGACGGGAGGGGGAGAGACAGAGAGAAACATCGGTGTGAGAGAGATACATGGATTGGTGCCTCCCACACGCACCCCTGACCAGGGACCGGTGATCCAGTCTGCAACCAAGGTACATGCCCTTGACTGGAATCAAACCTGGGACCCGTAGTCCGAGAGCTCTATCCACTGAACCAAACTGGCCAGGCATTGAATTCCTCTGGTTTTTACAAAGTGGGAGTTGAACAGTGTTTGGGATTTGTTCTCTGTGATTGTTTGATGTGATTGACGCCAGAAAGGACTAGAGTGTCCAGTGAAAGGACTAGTCAGAGGAACCCGTTAGGATGCCACTGGGAGATGGTGCCAGGACCTCTTCCCAGTTCTTTCTGTGAAAAGGCAGCGTTTTACTGGTAAAGGGATGTTCGGTGATACTGACTGTCCACAGCCACTGGAGACATTCAGTTAGAAACAGGAACATCGCTCTGCAGTGTAGGTCTTGCCAAACCTACTCGATGCAGAGGCGTTACGTGAAAACCAGTTGAAGGTGTGTTCCGGCACATAAAACCTCTGGAAGTGCTTTCGCCCCAAGTAGCTCCTCCTGGCCCTAGCAGATGCTGCGAGGTAACATCTGTATAATGCTTAGAGCCTGCCTGGTCCCTGCTACTTGGTGAGGATGTTTCATATAATGTTTTATATAATAAGACACTTTCACTCTTGTGTGTGAATTTCCAGGGGCCTCGGAGGAGAGCTCATGCGACAAGCAGGTAGGTCTGAGCAAGGGTGGCTGCAGATTGTGGTTGCACCTCTCATTCCCTCGTGGGGTGGGGCGGGGAGAGTCCAAAGGCGTTTGCCTCTCTCAGTACCATGGCGTGAGCGTGCCCTTCCCTGGACCCCGGGCCTGCCCGCTGCCGGGTTCACTTGACTCCATGTGTCCAGTCATTCCAGTCAACAGATCAGGGTGCCGGGAGCAGCGGCCAGGATGGCGTGGGAGAGGGGCATGGTGCGGCTTTCAGGAAGGGATGGTGGTGAGGGACCCAGTGTTGCTCTCTTAGCCTCTTCAGCACGTTTAAGGTAAACTGTAGAGCAAGGAGTAATTTTTCAGACTATATTTAAACTTTGCAAGAAACTCAATGATGCCAACATGCCTAGGTTCTCTGATGCATTTTTAACTAAACTTAGAAAACCCAGACTCATCCCTTTGTTGGTCAGTAGGTGTCTGGTCGGTTCTGGCCGTGCCCTGCGCTCAGGTCCTGCAGAGGCCTCACCCAGGAGCGGGCGGGCGGGCGGGTGGGCGGGCGGGCGGGCGGGCTCACAGTCCTGATGGGACAGACGTGCCTCTATGTGCTTTCCTTTCTCCTCCTAGTGTGCGTTCTGATAGAAAACCTGTCCCTTTCCAAGATGCCCTTCAGGGGCGACGCTGTCATCGGTAAGTGCTTTGCCCCCGTGGCTCGCCTTGCGGCCTTTTCTTCCAGAGCGGCTCCACGTGAGAAGTGAAGACGAGCCTGTGAGGATAGGGGCCGTTTCCTGATGATGGAGCTCCTGGCTCTGACACAGCTGCCAGTTGTAAATGACGGCATCAGCCACACACCCTCAGAAACAGGCCTCCCCTTCTTCCCCGAGACACGCTTCCTCCTCAGAGCCCTGGCTGGCTGAGGCCCTCGCAGGATCAGGGGAGGTGGCAGCAGAGCCAAAGCCACTGGGCAGGATGGGGGAGAACCTGCTGGGGGAGGGGGGAGGTGCGGCCAGGCCCCTGTGCAGGTCCAGTGCCCTTGGCAGCCCATTCTGTCCAGCAAGCAGGGCCTTTTCTGGCTGTGTGTACAGCAGCCGCGGAGAGGCAGCGAGGAGGGCTGCCCCGTGCTGCCTTGACTGCAGCCTCCGGAGAATGTGTAGGTTCGGCATTTGTTGCCAGACGGTGGGCCTAATTGAGTAGAATGTTTGGGTTTATATTGGGGGGTTGAGGGGGGTGGGGGTGGGGTTGAGGGAGAGGCACAGGAAAAGACCGCCGGAAGTTTATAGGTATAATAAAAGAATGAACACTTCCAGGTTTGGCTCAGTGGGTCTTGGGTCTGATTCCTGTCAAAGGGCACGTACTCCGCCCCTGGTTGGGAGCGTGCAGGAGGCAGCCAATGGATGTGTGTCTCTCACATCACTGTTTCTCTGTCTCTCCCCCTCCCTTCTACTCTCTCTAAGAATGGTTGGGAAAAATATCCTCAGGTGAGGATCAACAAAACAAAATAAAATGTTCCCGTGGTAAGAGTTTTAGCATTTCAGCAGCCAAGGAGACTTTCCCTGTAAACCGAGGGCCTTCGGATCCTACAAGAAGGTTCACTTTAGGTTTTCTCCGCGCTCACCTGTGTGCATCTGTGTGGGTTCACGAGGTGGAAGGCTGTGTGGTTGACTGTAGCTTCGTCTCACTTCTCCTAACGGGATGGTCTCTCTGCTTCGGTGACAGATGGCTGGCAGTGGCTGATAAGTGACACCTTGCGAAACCTCCACCACGTGTCCAGTCACTCCAGGCAGCAGATCAAGGTGCGGGGAGCAGGGTTTCCAGGGGCTGCGCTGTATCGAGAATGACATGACTTTTTAGTGTTTGTTTCAAAAGACTGCATTATGGGTCCCTTTACACTAATGGGGTAACTGAACAATACCACATTTTGTTTGGACTTCCGGGTGGTATTGTCTATGTAACATGTAATCAGAAAAACGAATTCAGCTATTGGTGACCAGAACATGCAACTTTCAAATTCCTGCTTCTGGTTTGATCCTGTTCCCCTGAGCGCTTTCCCGCACGCCGGGCGTTGTAGGGAGCTGTGTGTGCGGTGCTTACGTGCAGACGCGCTGCAGCCAGGTTCGCTGCCACGCTGGCTTTTCTGAAGGCGTGTGTGTCCTGGTGGTTGAGGGCCACGGCTGTCCCCTCGGGGCCAGGTGGGTGTGGGGTACAGAGCCGTTCTTTCCCTGCACAGCGGCCATCACCAGGGCACTGGGAGGGACTTGCTTCGTATTGAGGATGAGGAAATGAGGGTGTCCTTCTCTCCTGTGTATCAGCATTTCTGCTGGGCTATGGAAGGCTTCTTCAGCGTCCTTTTTAAAAGGAACTGTCATTCTGTAGAAGCTAAGCACCATTTTACTACTTGAATTTGAGCGCCTTGGGATCAGTGCTGCAAACTGTCCTTTTAAAACATCCATAACTGACTCCTACAAGCAGTGACCCCAGTGCAGTCTGCTGCCCTGATTGGTACCAGTGACACCTCGTTCTGAGCTCCCTCCCGCCTCATGTCCCCTCCTGCCTGGCCCAGCAGCTCTTTCCCGGGCTGCTCTGTGGCCTTGCGCATGGTCTGGAGAGTGGAGAGGACATAGGGATCTAGTGTTTGCTCTTTGCAGGTCCCTCTGTAGCCAGGTGTTCAAGGAGCGGACCTGCGAGTCCCTGTCACCTCCATGCTCTCCCCCCTCCCATTCCTCCCTCCTCCCTCCCTCCCTCTCTCCCTCCCTCCCTCCCTCCCTGGGTGGCTCTGCCTGGGGATCAGTGCTGCTGAGGGGCCCCTTCCTGTTCCCAGGGCCCTGGACCCCCAACTTCTCTCTGAACAAGGCCCTGCACAGCCTGCTGAGTCTTTGCCCACATCACACCGGTCAGGTGGCACACACCTCCTCCTCTGACCTCTGCTGGGAAAGGACTGTGCCCGTTCCGTTACGAACTGTTTGTGTGATAAGACGTGGAGTCTGCATTGTTTGGAAGAAATAACCAAGTTTTCTATTCAGTTTATTGTTTGCAAAACCGGTTAATGTTTTAACTACCTGACGTGATGGCACGCTGTTGTGCTGGAAGGAAGATGTAGTAACTTATTTCGCGTCTGACTGCAGAGCTGCCGGCTGCTCCCCTGGGTCCTGGGAGGCTGAGGCGCTCATGTCCTGCTTGGTTTCAGGAAGCGGCTGTCTCGGCCCTGGCTGCTCTCTGCAGCGAGTACTACACGGAGGAGCCCAGGAAGGCGGGTGAGTGGCTGACCCTGACCCTCGGGCCCTCTGGGCGTGGTGGGGAGGCTCCCTCCCTCCCTCTGCTTCGTGCCCACGGAGGGTAGCAGGGACGCGGTTGGGCATTGGTGGCTCCTGGGCCGCCCGCTCTCCCGCCCAGGCTGGCAGGCTGTACCGGAAGTTCTCCGCTCCGACGGCTCGGTGTCAGCTTTCTCTTGTGAGCTTCCCTGAACGCTCCTGCTGAGCGTCTGAGTCGGCTCTCGTCTCAGCAGCATCTGCTCACATCACACTTGACGTGAGCTCTTCACGCCCTGAGCTCTGGAGGCTCCGGTTCTGTGCAGGGAGCCGCTGTCCTGTCTCCTGCGTAGACCTGCCTTTCCCCTCCATGTGGTTCCTCACCGCCTCCATTGACACTGTCGCTGCCAACTTGTTTGGATGCGCCTTCCGGGGTCTGTGGCTCTGAGCGTCTGCTCACTCTGTCTCCCATGCCTTCTCCTGGACCTCCATTCAGAGCACGATGGCTCCATTGGCTTAACGGTGTTTGTAGTTCCCACAGGCACGTCCTTCCTCTTCATGGGGACAGTGAGCGTGCTGCCTCGCCACTCAGCGGGCTCCGGCGTTTCCAGAACGCTGCACGCTGCAGCTGCCGGCCCCTGGCCAAGCCTGTCCCTAGGATGCGATCACGTGCCATGTTACCGTGGCATTCCCCCGCTGTGCCGTGGGGACGCGGGGCAGCCCCTCATGGGCATGGGAGATGCTTTCCAAATCAATAGTGTCTTCCTAGGTCCCCTTTCCATGGGCAGTGTAACTTAAAGAGAAAATAAGGTTTTGTATTTAGTCTATTTTTAAAATTGAGATAAGATCAAGTTTTGATTTTTGCCTAAGAAAAATGTACTGTATCACACCATTCTGAATATAGAAAGAAATACTATTCAGAAATGAGCCTTGAAAATGCATGTGAATTGAGGGGGAAGGGAGGTGGTTTTTTCATGTTGTTACTGGTGTCTCCTGTAAGTTCCACCACAGGTGTCAGTGTAGTGTATGAACAAGTGGGACTCTTTTATTTCTCAATACATTTTTATTGAGTTCAGAGAAGGGAGAGGGAGAGAGAGAGAAACATCCATGATGAGAGAGTCATCAGTTGGCTGCCTCTTGCACGCCCCTCCTGGGGACGGAGCCCGCAACCCGGGCCTGTGCCCTGACCGGGATTCAACCCGCCACCGGCTGGCGTATGGGACGACGCTCCAGCAGACGGAGCCACCGGCCCGGGCGTTTGCCTCATTGGAGGAAGACGTTGCCTCCATGTGAGCATTGTGTTCTCACTGTGTAAACACGGAGAATTACAGCTGTGTGGACCATTCTCAGCACCCTTGTGGATGTGCTTTTCTGAGTGAAATCATTTGCTGAAATTGCTTATGAAAACCTTAACACCACCCAGTATAAGTTTCTATAGGTTTCTTCAATGGATTCCCTTTGAAAACATCTGCTTCTGGAGCCTGAGTTGCCTCTCCTCTCTGGACGCCATTGCGTCCATGCACATGTGGGGGCATTGGGCTCTGCTCCTGAAACGCCGCACAGAGCAGGTGAGGAAGCCGCCGCAGCGGGTGACCTGTGGCTTCTTTCCAGAGGGGCTGGTGGACGCGTACCTCGCCGAGCTGCAGAGCCCCGAGGAGATGACGCGCTGCGGCTTCGCCATGGCCCTGGGCGCCCTCCCCGGCTTCCTGCTGAGAGGCAGGCTCCAGCAGGTGAGCTGAGGGAGCGAGGACGGGGTTCTGAGCGAGCCGGGGCGTGTGTGAGACCATACACATGGGGGGGTGCGTGTGTGAGACCATACACATGTGGGGGTGTGTGTGTGAGACCATACACATGTGGGGGTGTGTGTGTGAGACCATACACATGGGGGGGCGTGTGTGAGACCATACACATGGGGGGGGCGTGTGTGAGACCATACACATGGGGGGGCGTGTGTGTGAGACCATACACATGGGGGGGCGTGTGTGTGAGACCATACACATGGGGGGTGCGTGTGTGAGACCATACACATGGGGGGTGCGTGTGTGAGACTATACACATGGGGGGGCGTGTGTGAGACCATACACATGTGGGGGTGTGTGTGTGAGACCATGCACATGTGAGGGCGTGTGTGAGACTATACACATGTGAGGGCATGTGTGAGACCATGCACATGTGAGGGAGTGTGTGTGTGAGACCATACACATGTGGGGGGCGTGTGTGAGACCATGCACATGTGAGGGGGTGTGTGCGTGTGTGAGACCATGCACATGTGAGGGCATGTGTGAGACCATGCACATGTGAGGGCTTGTGTGCGTGAGACCATGCACATGTGGGGGCATGTGTGTGTGAGCCATACACATGTGAGAGCGTGTGTGAGACCATACACGTGTGTGTGTGTGTGTGTGAGCCATACACATGTGAGAGCGTGTGTGAGACCATGCACATGTGGGGAGCGTGTGTGAGACCATGCACATGTGAGGGCATATGTGTGTGAGACCATGCACATGTGAGGGCATGTGTGAGACCATGCACATGCGGGCAGGGGTGGCACATATCCCTGCCCGGTGTCTCTCAGGGTCCACACCAGGCAGACTTGACCCTGGGGCACATCCACACACAATGCCTCTTGGAGCCACGCGGCTGCCTGATCACGGGACAGGCAGGCACTCGCGCTCATGGGCATGACACTGGCGCTGAGCCTCTGCCTGCGGGAAGGTGTGTTGATCTCGTGTGACGGGTCCCTGCCTTTCAGGTTCTGGCGGGGTTGAGAGCCGTCACCCTCTGCTCGGAGGATGTGAGCTTCGCGGAATCCCGGCGGGATGCCGTGAAGGCCATCGCCAGGTGAGTCTCCGAACTCCCCGTCTCCACCCTCGGGAGCCAGCGGCCCCTCCCAGGGGCTGTCACAGCTGGCCCTTTGGAAGCCCTTCTCAGGGACGGATCTCCCAGAGACAGAGGCTTTTTTTATTTTCTAGTTTCTTCTCTCGTGGAGGATTGGAAAGAACAGTTCCCACTCAGGCTCCTTTGCAGTCTGTCCAGTTCTAGAGAGCGTTAAAGCCCGTGTGTGCTCAGTCCATCACGTCAGGAAACGGGGCCATTTTAAAGATGGGCAGCCCCAAGGACAAGGACGGGACAGTGCGAGTGGCTCTGGTCCTTAATCACAAATGCGAACATGTCGGACGTGCTGTCCGTCCCCCCCCAGCACATCGGAGGACACTGAGTGGGCCCACATGCCGTCCAGGCTCTGGTGGCACGCTGTCCCCTTTCTGCCCAGAGAGAGGGCAGGAGGGCCCAGGCGCAACGCGCCTTCTAAGCTGTAGACACTGGAGAGCGTGGTTCGGAGCAGAGGTGGTGGTCGTGGGAAGGGATGCCGGGTGTCGGAGCCTCCCTGCCAGTCTGCTCTGAGCGTGTCCTGTGAGGAGGAGCCCGTCAGGCTGGAGGAACTCAGGGACGTGGACTGTTTTTAATTCCAGGATTTGCCAAACTGTCGGTGTGAGAGCAGAAGGGACCCCGGACGAGGTCGTGTGCAAAGGGAATGTGTCCCAGATTTACTGCACGCTGCTGGACTGTCTGCGCGACTACACCACCGACAGCCGCGGGGACGTGGGCGCATGGTGAGGCTCCTCCTCACGGCCCAGGAAGGCGGCTTTTCGTGGCTTCCAGCTGCTCTGGTTGCCCTCGGAGCACGCGGTGAAGTGGGGAGGAGGGCTCTCCCTGGGGTCCCGTTCGCGCCCAGAGGCCAGGCAGGCTGGGTGTTGGTGACTGGTGACTTCAGGCCAGGACCCAGTCCCCCCGACGTCTCTAGTGCGTGGTCTGTTTTCAGAGATCCTCATTCTTCGTAGGAAGTCTCATTGTCTCGCCTTTTCTCTTCAGCTGCTCCTCGGGGTTGTTTTAAGGACCAACATCTGGCACCCGGGGGCCCGTTTCTGTTGTCTCATCACGTTAGACTTGCTTTTTAAAATGTATTTGTACTGATTTCAGAGAGGAAGGGGGAGGGAGAGAGAAAGAGAAACGTCCATGATGAGAGAGAACCACTGATTGGCTGCCTCCTGCACGCCCCCCACTGGAGGGTGAGCCTGCAACCCAGACCTGTGTCCTGACCAGGAATCGAACTTACGACTTGCAAGTTCATGAGCCACGCTGGCTGGGCGGTCTTCTTTTGTTCTTTAATGTTCCTTTTAATTTTTAACTAAATTCAGAAATTGTGAATTCAAAGCTGTAGAGCTTTGGGTTGTGTAATTCCCTTTGAGCAGGTGGTAGGTTCCCTTACGTGAGACCCCCGTGGTGGGCTCAGGTCGCCGAGGGCCCTCAGCGGCGGCTGGGCTGGCCCTTACTCCTGCTACACCCCAGGGCGTGGCCTGTGGCTACAGCCCGGCTGAGGGGCCTCAGACCCCAGGGCCTTCCTCCTGCTCATGTCCTCCAGCTGCTGACTTGAGGACGTTGGACCCTCACCTGTGCTTGACCAGTTAGGAGCAGTTTGGGTCCCTCCCCAGCCTTTCCGTGTGAGTGCTGCGCCCACAGAGACGAGTCCTCCCTGTCCCCACACTCTGCCTGCTCCCTGGCACATCCAGAGATCATGTGTCCTGAGGAGCCGTTCGCCTGGCGTCTGAGCCCCCGTTCCTGTCAGCCTCTGGCCTGCGTCTGCTGCACCTCAGCACCTCCCCTCCGGGCCCCCTCTTCACCCTGAGCAGCACAGGCTGCCTCCTTGATGGGCCCATTTGCTGCGTGGTGGGAGGGCGGGTGCTCAGGACCGAGGGCTGTTGTGTCCAGGATCCTGTGGCCCAGCTTGTCTGACCTGGGCCAGTGCCCGATGCCCCAAGTTTAGAAGGTGCTTTCACTGTGGAGCTGGGCCAGTCATGGTGTGAGCTCAGCTTGGCAGGTGGTCTCAGCTCCTTTCCTGGGAGCTGCTGTGGACCGTGTGCTCAGAGGGGACAGAGCCTTCCTGGCCTGGGGACCCCTGGGCAGCAGGAGGGAGCCGCTCTGCGCGTCCTCCCAGGGAAGGCCAGAGCCCTCGGAGTTCTGCTGGAGGAAGCTCTGCAGTGTGTTTTGCCTTTAAAAGTTCTGGGAACGCCAGTGCTGTTTCTGGCGAGCACCATGCCCGCTTGCTGGGCCGCTGTCTGCGAGGCACATCCTTGTCCGCCGGTCGTGGGGGAAGCGTTCTCAGAGGAGGGCGGCTTGTGGACGCTTCCCGCTCAGCGCGTTCAGATTGAGGGCCTCACAGTCTCCTTCCCACACGCAGGGTCCCCTTCCCGCTGACAGTCACCTCAGGCTAGGGAGCAGCCTGCTCACTCCACCTCCTCCTCACCCCTTCTCCTGCTTCCTCCTGTCCCTGCAGGGTCCGAGAGGCCGCCATGACCAGTCTGATGGACCTGACACTTCTTCTGGGGAGAGACCAGCCAGAGCTGATCGAGGCTCCCACGTGAGTGTTGGCGTGACCCCGCGGCTCAGGCTGGCAGGAGGACAGCCATTCCCGGGCGAGGCCAGGGCAAGGGCCACTCCTCAGGCTTTGGGCCCTGGCACCTAAGTGCCTGCTCCGGCTAGGGGCCCGGCTGTCCCCTCTCCTGTCAGTTCCCGGGACATGGGCTGCCCCTGGGCCCTCCCTTGCCCCTCACTGGGCTGTTGCATCTGTGGCAATCCCGTTTCCCGAGCCTCCACCTGCCCTCACCCCCGCTTCCCTTCCCCCTCCTGCCCTTTTCCTCTGTGCCCCCTTCTCATCCCTGTCTTTTCTGCCTCCTTCCTGTGTCCATCACCACCTGTTGCCCACCTGGAGCCCTGTGTGTCTTCCCTGCCTTCTACCCAAGGCCTGGCATTTAGGCTTCTGGGGTCAGATCAGCTGTGGGGGGCCGGGGGGAGGCCCGCCGTGTGGGCAGGGAGCTAGGCCTGTGCTGACCTGCAGCCGTGTTGTGTGTGCTCCGCGGGCGCCCTCGGGGTGGAGCCGCGCTACAGCTGGGCTCTTGGTTTGCAGCTGCCAGCGGGTCATGTGCTGCCTGGCCCAGCAGGCCAGCGAGAAGATAGACCACTTCCGTGCGCACGCTGCCCACGTGTTCATGACGCTGCTGCACTCGGCTGGCCCAGCTGGTCCCACCGTGCCCCATGTACCCCACCGGGCCGAGCTGGAGCAGCTCTTCCCCAGGTATGGAGCGTCCGGGTGCCGATTGCGGTGGGCGGCGGGCAGGGCCCTCCAGCTTGTGGCTCTCTTGCAGGTCCGAGGCCGCCTCTGTCAACTGGACCGCGCCATCCCAGGCCTTCCCTCGCATCACCCAGCTGCTGGGGCTGCCTGCCTACCGCTACCACGTGCTGCTGGGGCTGGCCGTGTCCGTGGGTGGCCTCACCGAGTCCACGGTGAGCATGCGTCTGGCCCCTTTCCCAACCGAGCAGCTTTGGGTGGACTGGGCGTCTGTCCTGGAGCTGGGGTTGGGACGTGCGCTGCTGGGGGCTGCCCCTCCCTCCTGCTGGGGAAGCAGGTCACCAGCACGGCCCCTTTCCTGGCCTCAGGCTCCAGGGCAGGGTCCCAGGGTGGCTCAGGGAACTTTCATGTCTGATGAGGGGAGCTCAGGAGCCGCGACATCGTGGCGAATTCCTGTTCCCGGCCCGCAGTTCAGCTGCCATCAGTGCTGTGTGGTCCTGCCCCACTGCCAACTGGCCCTGGGGCTCTAGGTTCCTTTCCTTCTATGCGAGGTGTGCCCGGGGAGGTGTGTGTTTCCGGTTTCTGCTGGCTTGGTCTTCACGCACTTCTTGACCCTCAAAAGGTGTTGGCTTAGCCTGGGGGGTGTGGCTCAGTGGTCAGTCTATGAACCAGGACGTCACAGTTCATTTCCAGGTCAGGGCACAGGCCCGGGTTGTGGGCTTGATTCCCAGTTCGGGGTGCACAGGAGGCAGCCAGTTAGTGATTCTCTCTCAGCATTGATGTTTCTCTCTCTCCCTCCTTCTCTCTTCCTCTGAAATCAATTAAAAATATATACAACTTTAGGAAAGGGGTCGGTTTGACCTGCAGAGCTCCCCCCCACACACACACACACAGTCCTTGTGGTGCTGCCCGCCGTCCTCTGTGGCCACTGCGGCGGGCGGTGCCGTCCCCGTGCTGGGGCATCTGTGGTTGGTTGGTTTGTGAATCGTTGGGTCCAGGGTTCTTGGCACTTTGGGGACAGTCTCAGCTGTCCCCTCCCCCTGCTGGCTCCTGTGCGCTCGCGCGTGCGCCCTCTCTCTCTTTCTCTCTCTCACTCTCTCTCTCTTCCTCCACGTCCGCCCTCGGCTCTGCATGCTCCTCGCAGCTTTCCATCGTCTGTGCTTGTCTCCCCATGAGTTTTGGTTTCACTGATGACATTTTTATTACCAGCCGTTCACTTTGTTCTGAAATTGGTGTTTCTCATGCTTGTTCATCTTAGGCTCATCTGTATGATTGTTTTTGTCCTGAAAGTGGTGCCCACAGGGTGGGACAGGTCTAGGTCTGTTCTCTGCTTCTGCTGACTCCTTCCTGGGACTCGCCCGCTCCGCGGGTGACCTGAGGGGAGCTGTCTGCAGACACAGCGGTGGGCGGCCCCCTGGCACTGGGCGTGCTGCAGCGCTGGTAGGAGCTGCGTCTCCAGAGTCAGTTTCTCAGCTTCCTTGTCAGCTGGTGGCTGCTGGCATCCAGTCTCAGGAACCGCTGACTGCCTGCTGCTCCCAGCCTCATCGCCTCGGGTGGCTCCTCCTCACCCTTCTAGTCCGCAGGCCCCGCTCTGGCCTCCTGCCCATTTCCCGGGGAGCCCCACTGGGTGGCTTGGGTGATGTGGCCATTGGGGGATAGCGTGAGGGTTTGGGCCGTCTGCTGCCTGGAGGGAGCGTCTCCATGTCAGGTGTTGGCTGTGTCCAGGCTCAGGCTGGTCTGACCCTCCCCTCTGGGCTCTCCTCTGCCCCTGAGCACTGTGCTTGCTGCTGGGATCGGCCCAGGGGCAGGTGGTGGCACGGGGGTGGCCTCATGACAGGACGAGGACGGCCCCTGTGTTGCAGGTCAGGCACTCCACCCAGAGTCTGTTCGTGCACATGAAGGGCATTCAGAGCGACCGGCAGGCCCTGGAGAGCTTCAGTGGGACCCTCCTGCAGGTCTTTGAGGACAACCTGCTGAACGACAGGTACGCGTGGGCAGGCACAGGCCAGGGCCGTGGACACGGCCAGCGGGCATCTCCACCACCCTGCCCTTGGGGCCCTGCAGCCTGCGCTCTGGGGCCGTGGGATTCGGGGTTTGCACAGGTTGGAAGTAACGTGACAGAGCAGGGTGCCCTTGTGCTCCCCCCGGTAGTGGCCCGGGCCAGGTGCCAGCATGGCTCCGCCCACAGCCGTGGCCCCGAGCAGCGGCGAGGCGCTCAATGAACTGAGCTGAGTGATGCGGTGAGAAAGGTCTTTGTTCTCAACGTTTGCTCTAGGGTTTCGCTCACTGCTTTCCCATGAAGGCAGAGGGTGGGCCTGGACCCTGAACCCAGAGGGTGTGGCCGGACTCCGTGGCCACAGGTCCCCTCGCCGCAGGAGCCGTCGGCTCTCCTGCCGGGGGAAGCACAGACACAGCTTCGGGGAGTCCTGTTGGCCTTCACAAAGCCATCACCATAGTCAAGACACACCCACACCTGAGAGCTTCCCCAGCCCTTCTTCCTCCCCTATGCCCAGCCCCAAGGCGCCAACCCAGTGTAGGTGGCACTTTCCAGAACTTTCCGTGGACTCTTGCCGAGTGCACCCTCTGCGCCGGCTCCTCGGCCCAGCGCCTTGTCTGGCACACTGTGTGGCGCTGTCCCCCTGCGTGGTGGCACTGGCCGGCGCGGGGGCTGTCCCGTGGAGGCCTCCGGCTGGAGCTGCAGTGAGCACCTCAGCCTGTCTTCTGTGGCGCCTCCCATTTTCTCCTGCAAAGCCAGGCCTCCTGGCTGGGCCACGTGGTTGGCCAGGATCGACTGCTGTCCTCAGGGATCGTCTGTCCGCACCGCCGCCGCCATGGCCGTCCTGGTGGGGATGTGGGCTGTAGCCGCGTCCCGGTCGGGAGACCTCTGTGCTGGAGTCTGCTCAGATCTTTGCCCGTTTCGGCTGCTCCGGCTGCTGGGCATGGGGTCCCCCGGGCCTGGCCTTGCGTCTTGGAGTGCAACCTCAGGCTGTCTCCGTGGCAGCTCTTTCCCTCTCAGCAGGAGTCGCACCTTGGTGAGCTCGTTTGCCCACCTGACCTTTGTGGGCTGTTTCATGGCACACCTGGGAAGTTTCCTCTGCCTAGCTCAGGGTTTTCTCTCGTGGTTTCTTGTGGAAGTTTTAGTTTAGCTCTGACCTGTGTGATGCACGCGTTGGCTCGGGGCCGGTGTCACTGGCGGCTGTGGTGCCTCCTTGGGAACTGGATCTGTGGGCTTGTGTGGACATTTCTGTTCTGGTCGGTTTGTGTGCGTCTTTACGGTTGTAAAGTGGAGCTGTGTGAGCTGGCCTGCCCTTCCTGCCAGGGGGTGGGAGCCCCTTGACCCTTGGCCTTTCTTACGAAGGTCAGAAGGGGCTTCCACTGTTGACAACCTGCAGGGTTTTGACGGTGGTGGCGCTGTTGGGGTTGGCGGCGTCTGGGTCGAGTGTCCCGCTCTCCATACGCGCCCCCCTCCCTCCCTCAGTTGGCACCTGGGCCTCACAGCACGTCCTTTCCCGCAGGGTGTCCGTGCCGCTGCTCAAGATGCTGGACCAGATGCTGGCCAACGGCTGCTTCGACGTCTTCACCGCCGAGGAGGAGTGAGTGTTCGTTTCTTTCCGCATCAGCTGCTCTGCCGCTTAAGCCTCGTGGTTCATCTCTTAAAGAAACAGCGATCCAGCCAGAGATCAGTTTTAGGGATAATTTCCTAGTGTGTTCAGGTCGGTTCCTACGTGCCCTGTAAAGGCCCCGTGAGGCGGCGGGGCAGCTGCGGGGGGAGCAGTGACGGGCCCGTGGCCGTCGCAGGGTCGAGCGGAGGCCAGCTGGGTGGCGGCACCGGGTGTGGCGTCTCCGGCCTCTGCTGGTTCCTCTCAGGTTTGTTTGGGGCTTTCCCTCTTCTCTGCTCTCTCGATGGCCACCCTGTCAGTCTAACTCTCAGTATTTCTCTTCCTGGACAATTCCAAGGCCTTGGAACACAATCAGTCGTTGACATTTTTAGTAGTTGTTTTGCTTTAGTATTTGTTAACCACAGTTTTACTACATTTTTGTCCCTCGTTGCTCCTGAAATCCCTATCTGGGGTTTTGTTCTTTCTGCCTAACGAACATTCTTCAGAATTTCTTCTAATAAGGTCTGCTGGTAAATGCTTTCTCATTTTCATTTGAAGGGCTTTTCACAGAACTCTAGGCAGCTGTTTTATTCCAGGACTTAAAAAACGTATGGCTCAATAGTTAGTGTCAGCCTTCACACAGAAGGCTCGTTTTCTGGTCAAGGGCACATACTTGGGTTGCAGTTCAATCCCTGGCCCTGGTCTGGGTGGTCAGCGTGTGTATAGGAGGCAACCAACCAATCAGTGTTTCTCTCTCCCCACCCTCCTTCCTCCCACTCTTTCTCTCTCAAAAAAAAAAAAAGTCAATGGGAAAAAATATATTCAGGTGGGGATTAGCGTGCGCACGCACGCGCACACTCACACACACGTGTTTCCTTTATCCCGATGCCTCCTGTAACGGTGTCACCTCTCCGTCTCCAGGGGTGGGAGAGCCTGTTTCCTGCCGAGGGCCATGTGGATATCTATGACATCATTGTGGGCCAAACAGAATTACCACTGAACACGAGCCTGCTGTCTGCGGGCAGACATTTCATTAACTCACCCCAGTGCCTTGGCAGGGCCAGACCAAAGGATTTCTTGGACCGTACACGGCCCCCCGGCCAGGTGCTCCCCACCCTGCTCTGGACGACTGGGCCTTGGGAAGCAGTCTGGGGTCTCCTGCCCCTTGTGAGTTTCTCTTCTAATGGCCTGGCTGTCAGCTTTTACACACGTGTGTCTTCATGGGTTTGTTAAACTCAGCTCCGTGGTTCCATTGGTTTTCCTTTGTCCTAGGAAGTCTTCGCTGTCCCATTTCTGGGCACTAGGGCTTCTCCCCCACCCCACCCTCAATCTCGGGGATCCCACCGTGCCTGCTGCGCCCCTGCCTTCGCTCGGGTCTGTCTCCACCTGCTGGTGTCCGAGACGGGTCGTCCCTGCCTCGGTGGTGTGTGCAGACCTGTTCTGGGTTATGTAGTTGTCAGGTGTCTCCTTCCATCTGGTTTGTTTCCAAACTGGAAGGGTCCTTACTCTTCCCTGCAGTTCCTGCCAGGCTGCCCTCTCCCTTCCGCTTTCCTCGGTGTGGCTCTGGGCTGCAGTCCTCATGGGGCTTTCCATCCAGTTTGAGTTTTCCCATGTGTCTCATTACTTGTCTGGATGTGGCATCTGAAATGTCATGTGAAAGGCGCCTGAGGCCAGAGAAGACGAGCCTGCAGGCAGGACTCCGCTCCCCTTGCAGGCGCGAGAGGGCAGCAGCCAGTGGGAAGGGTCTCTGGACTGCCAGGTCCCTAGTGGCTGGGCCGCCCCACCCGCTGCTGCCTGGTGGGCACTGGTCGCTCGGTGCCGCGCCAGGGGCACCGGAGCCAGTTAAGGAGACCCGGGCATCACTGCCATACGCACGGCAGGACAGCTCCCAGCTGCTCATCCCGTGCCTGTGCTGTCCTTGCAGCCACCCCTTTTGTGTGAAACTGCTGGAGCTTTGTAAGGCGGAAACCAGCAAGTCCAAGGACGTCCAGAAGCTGCGGTCCAGCATCGCTGTGTGAGTCCGCAGGCTGATGTGGGCGAGCTCGGGGAGGGAGTGGGAAGCCCGGAGGCCTGTGGAGTCCTGAGAACAAGAGGGAAGCTATTGCCATGTCCCCAGCCCTGACCACGCGTGACCTTGGCCTGAGGGGAGGTGAAGTGTCCCAACCCTGGAGATCTAGGCAGATCTATTCAGTGGTCTGGATGCCGCTGGTTTGTGGTGACTAAACCAGCACCACCCTGAGGCCTGGTGTCAGCACGGCCCTGGCATCGGCAGGCTGGGTGAGGCTGCTCACTGCGTTGCCGGCAGGTTCTGTGGGATGGCGCAGTTCCCCGGCGGCGTGCGGAGGAAGGTCCTGCTGCAGCTGCTGCTCCTGCTCTGCCACCCGTTCCCCGTGGTGAGTGCGTGTGACAGCTGCCCACCTCGGGTTTCCATGTTCTGCTCGCTGGTGCCGGTGTCGTGGGTGCTGGGGCGAGCAGCCTCACTCTGCCTCCTGAGACGCAGCAGGGGCGGAGGGGGGGTCCTCCACTGTGTGGACACTCAGGTCTTGGGAGCAGCAGCTGCCGTGTGATTTTCACGGTCTTTCCTGGGGGAGGGTTCTGCCCTTGAGGGGCAGCAGGTTCCCTCAGTGAGGCTCTACCCCCACATCTGTCCCAGACTACCCCCCGGAGGCCTGGGCAGGGGGTCCTGGAAGCCCCGCACACCTGAGTGATGCCTTCCCCCAGAACTGCCCACTGCAGGGTCAGGCTTCCTAGAAGCTGCTGCCTTTGGCTGGGAGATGGCTCTCAGGGAACCGCTCATGACCTTCTCCTGAGGGTGAAGGGCGCCCGCGCCTCCCAGCAGCACCCGTGGGAAAGGCAGCTCTCGGCCACCCGACCTGCTGGCTTACCCCTGGGGATTGGAGTCCCAGGAGTGGAGCCCGGCTCTGAAATGTCGCCATAGGGGACCCTGGGGCAGAAGCAGGGAGACGTGTCCCTGAGGAGGGCAGGCCTTTCTGAGGCAGGTCAACAAGAACATGGCCAGCCCCACAGGAGGCCCTGGCTCTTCCCGATGAGGCTCTGGAGGGACCGCAGGGGGCCGGGCCCTCGTGCTGTCCTGGGATCGCGTGGGGTCACAGCCAGGTCTCCCTAAGTTAGGATCTGAGGTCAGCACGCCCTTCAGGCTTCAGTCGGACTCTGGGCCCCCCTCCCACTAATGCTCTGCCCAACCAGATCCGCAAGACGACAGCGAGCCAGGTGTACGAAATGCTGCTCACCTACAGCGGCGTGGTGGGCGCCGACGTCCTGGACGAGGTCATGGCTGTGCTCAGCGACACCGCCTGGTGAGGGCTCGGCGCCTGCCACCCTCCCTTCCCGCCCGTCTCTCCCCGAAGCCCCGAGGGAACGGGGATGGGAAAAGCGAGGCTCCCAGCCCTGACGGCCTTGGCTCCGGGTTTGAGGCGGCGGTGGCGGCTTCTCCCTGCTTGTCCAGGGTTCTGCAGGTCAGGCCCCCCTCCTGCCCAGAGGCTGTGCCAGCCACACGCGGACCAGCAGGGCGCCTTCCAGCGGCTCCCGGCTGCTCAGGGGCCACATTTTCAAAGTGCAGTTATTTTTCTCACACGTGCGAATTTTTAAAAAATCCTTATTGTTGAAAGTATTACTATATATGTGCCCCGCCGCGCCCCTCCCCCCCACCAAGTGCAATGTTTTTGTAAGTGAAATGGGCTGTTTTTGCTTCTCAGTGGGCGCGATGGATGCTGGTGCACCCAGGTCTGCACGGGGACCGGCTCCTGCCCAAGCTGGGTGCAGTGCCGGAGCGGTGGGGTGCAGTGTGGGAGGCTTGTCCGGCAGGAGGATGTGCTGTGTGTCTGTGTGGCGTGGCTGCAGCGGTAGCTGCTGTGCGTAGACTCGCCTCAGTGTTGGACAGAGGGGGAAGGTTCCTCCCGATAATTTAATCCCTATCTGTAAAAAAAAAATTCCCCAGCCCGGCAGGCGTGGCTCAGTAGTTGTCAACCTATAAACCAGGAGGTCACAGTTCGATTCCCAGTCAGGGCACATGTCCAGGTTGCAGGCTCAAGCCCCAGTGGGGAGTGTGCAGGAGACAGCCGATCCATGATTCTCCCTCATCACTGATGTTTCTATCACGTCTCCCTCTCCCTCTAAAAATCAATAAAAGCGTATTTTAAAAAATAGAAATGAGGTTTGTGGCAGGTTTGACTAAAGCGAGCGGGCCTTTCTTGCATCTGAAGCCAACCCATTCTCTCCCCACAGGGACTTGGAGCTCCTGCTCGTAAGAGGCCATCGGAACCGCCTGTGTGACCTCCTCGGGGTGCCCAGACCCCAGCTGGTCCCTAAGGTAACTGCACGTCCCCCTCGGGCAGTGCCAGGGACATCCAACGGCTCCAATGAGCCACTGCCCCGATCTCCAGCCTAGACACCTGGGTCCTCCTGGCTTTCAGGACTCCTGGGGGGCAGCACCCACATGGCAGTGCCTCCAGGGACCCTGGTGCAGATGCAAGGCGATGCTGACCTGCCAGCCCCCAGGGGACCCAGGGCAGGGGTGGCAGGAGGAGCATTGTGATGCTCCCGTCTCCTCGTGTCCAGGCCACAGAGTATCAGCTTCCCAAGGAAAAGGCCTTTTTGTTTTTATTAGGGAAATTTTGCACTCAGATGGGAGAACAGGTGTCAGCTCCTGGGACGTCTCGGGGAAAGGCCCAAACGCAGTTTCCTGTGGGAAGCAGGCCCAGGGTGGGCGGGCGGGCGATGGTGCTGGCCGCCCTGACTGACCCTGTCGTGTGCTCTGCAGCCTGCTGTCAGCTGAGGCTGGTCCTGGGAGCTGAGTAGTGCTTGTGCCGTCTGCGGGGAGGAGCAGCCAGATGCCGCTCAGGATAGGAATCCTGGTGCAGAACCGGCCGTCCTGGAACGTGTGTGGAGGAGTCCGTCACCACGGAGGCTCTTTATCACGGTGTCTGCGCTCTAGTGACCCCGTGTCTGTGCTTAACACAAGTCCACGTCTTATAAAACCACATGCTGAGCAGTCTGCGTCTGTGTCTGATGCTGTTGTGAGTGAGGGTGAATGGGGGGACAGCCTATGGGGGGCGTAACCTGGAGGCCAGAGAGAGTCCTAGGCTCCCTCGTGCTCTGCGCCTCCCCCCCCCCCCCGAGTCTAGGTGAGGGTTTGGAGGGAAGCTCCAGGTGCTCAAACCCACCCTGTAGCCAGAAGCAGGCAAGAGCAAGGGATCACACGAGTGCACTGAGGGCTGGGAAGGAAGAGAAGCTGGGATCCTCTACAGGAGGCGGAATGACCAGGAAGGCATGGCCAGAGCATATCTCTCAGGCTCCACCTGGTGCTGGGGTGGAGGGAGGAACGCTCTCCTGGCCACCCACAGCTTGAACACGGAGCTCCAGACAAGGGGCAGACGAGCAAATCCCCTACCCCTCTGGCTGGTCCCCACAGAGAAGATTAAAACGTAAGCTCACATTCCAGAAATTTTTAGAATCAAACCCCAAAAGATACGAAATATAAAATGGGTTTACTGAGAAGAGCTTTAAGACAAAAATGCTCAACGGGTTAAACCACCACATGGACACCGCTGAGGAGAACGAGGACAGGAAGACCTGCAGACACTGTCAGAGGAACAGGTGGGAAGCGTGTCGGCAAAGTCGGGAGAAGGGACCTGTGTGTCCCAGGATCTGGAGTGCGGACTGTGCAGGTGCCCACACTTGGGAGGCAGCTGTCCTCGATGCAGAAGCCCTGCGTCCAACCTGACGGGCTCGCCCCTGGGTGCACGGCACCGTAGTGCGAACTGCTGTGCACACAGGGTGCCCTGCTGCCCAAATCCTGGCAGCCGTGGAGTCAAGAGGCTGGACACACTCGCTCTCGTGCTGAGGACATGACTCCATGTGGCAGAAATGAGTGCCTAACGGATTCAAGCAAGAGAACAGTCAGCCATCGGTAGGGCGGGCTCTCCATCCTGTGCTGGTTTTCCAGTCTTGGCACAGACATCAGGGGCTGATGGCTCTTTGTTGTGGGGACAGTCCTGTGTGCTGCAAGGAGTTCAGCAAACCCCTTTCCAGGTGTGACGACAGACTCTCCTGTGGACGGACAGCAGCAGCAGGAAAGGTCTCAGAGGCAACGAGGAATGCGGCACCAGGAGGCACCACATTTAGGGAAAAGCTCTTTGGGATTTGTTTTCCTGGCCTGGGTGGGGCTAATGGGAGGGGTGGAGTCCTAGGGCTGGGAGGCTGAACACACAGCCATACAACCTCAGCTCCTGCCCAGTGCCTACAGCAACCAGTCCATTCCAGGAGTGGGCAGGAGCTGCCAGCCTCCCTAATTCTTGCTCCATTTCCAACTGAGACCAACCAGAGGAAACCAGATGTGCTCCCCTCCCACCACAGCCCCTGGCAGGCCCCTGAGCTCCTTGCCCTCTGCTGCCCAATGCCCTGCCACCAAGCACTGAGCACAGCCGTTTTCATGGGGTGATCTGTTTACTTCCACCTGTCTCCTGAGGTCAAGTGCAGTAGCTGCACCCCAGGGTGCTCACCTTGACAGATGAGCTCACGTACACCCAGACCAACCCAGATGGCAGTGCCCACACGTAGGCACTCCAGGTGGTGACCATTCTCAGAAGACAGTGTGCTCTAAAAAAAAAAAAAATCACTAAAAAAAAAGTACATCTTTAAAAAAAAATCACTAAAAAAATGTACAGCTCTAAAAAAATATATATATTACTAAGAAGACACAGTGTGGGCACGTGTCAGGTGCCTGGTGAAGGTGTGGATTCTACCCAATCAGAACATCACCCGCCCTCTGCCCCGCAGCCAGGTGACGGTCTCCCACCCGGTCTGCTACTCCCATCTGCGGGTTCCACAGGGCCACTGCCCCCAATCCGTCACCTGCAGGACTCCATGCTGCTGTGGGCCTGTCAGCTGAAGTGGAGGAAGTCCCGGCCCTCCTGCAGGTGCAGCGACCTCAGGTTGTCCTCAAATGCACCTCCAGTAAGGTCCTGTGAGAGGGAATGGTAAATCATGCCCTGCGCGGAATCGGCCTGGCAGTGCCCACGTGCTCCTCCTCCTGCTGTTACTACTAGGCGCTGCTACAGGAATTTAAACAAAAACTACTCTCTCATCGCTGATGTTCTAGCTCTCTCTGAAATCAATAAAAATATATTTTAAAAACAAATGAAAACCACTCCCCTCGGAAAACACCTGCAACTTCCAAATTCTGTCCTTCACTTGCTGTCCATGCTCAAACCCCCTCTTCTGTTCTGTTCCCTCGCTGCTCCTGAGATGTTACAGGAAAACTGGGCTCCGCCTGGCGTGTGGCCCAGGGGTCATGGGCAAAGCTGACAGCCCTGGGCATGCAGAGGGGCCAATGGGAAGGAAGGTCTGCTCCCGACGGGGAGGGCCTCCTGAACAAGACGCCAGTGCAGTTGGACGCTTCCATCAAATGACAGCCCATTAAGAGCATGAAAAGGCCAGCATGGCTCAGTGCTTGAGTATTGACCTATGAACCAAGAGGTCAAGGAACTAGCTGAGCATCCTCTGGTCTGGCCACTTGTGGGCACCATCTAAGGACGTGGGTGACACGGCACTCCCAGCACTCAGCCTGCAGGGACAGTAAATGGGCATCAAGGATGCCCTCCCAGCACAGCCTGGGAAACAGCTCCTAAAGGCTAAGCCGTGTCCCCATGTGACACAGACCAGGGCATATGTACCGAGGTTGCCCTGTAGAGGGAAGCTGTGACCATTCCAGCCCCACCCAGAGTGCCGATCCAGGGCGTGTCCCAGCCCCGTGCCCACAGCCCAGCACTCACCAGCTTCACGCAGATGACGAAGGGCGGGCGGGCGGCTCGGAAGTGCAGGATGGGCACCCGGGGCTTGGGCCTTTCCTGAGAGAGAAGAGGGCATGGGCGTTGCTCCTGCCACCTGAGCCCCATACCACTCCTGACGCACAGCACAGGCTAGACCTGGGACCTACCCGCCAGGACCCACCTACCCCTGCCCCAGCCACCTCAGAGTCGCCACAGAACCCATCCAGGTGGGTAATGGGAGACCTGGACCTGTGAGCAGGGCTCTCCAGTGAAAAGATGGGGTGGGCACAAGTCACTCTGGGGTCCCAATTCCCTAAGAGTCAGGGCTGTGTCTGCAGCCGCCCAGATGGCCTGTCCAGGATGGCGTCCTAGAGGTGGGCCAGGCGTGGTGTGCCTACCCATGCAGGACCCAGCTCCCAGCCCAGGGCGCCAGGGGCCTCCACACCTGAGAGTCCTCGTAGCAGTAAAAGCCCTTCTTGATCTTGTTCTCGTCTACGTCACAAAAGGCAACCACCTGGGGAGGACACAGGACGCCAGCCTTGGACAGTGCTGCTGGGGGTGGGGAGGGCGCAGGGGATGGGGGTACCAAGCGACGGGGGCGCCCACCTTGTGCCGCGACCCTGCTGTAAGGCTGCGGTAGAGCCGGCGGCCCTGCTTGCCAGCATTCCAGATGGTGAAGGTTGCCCAGTGTGGCAAAGCCCTCTCTTCCAGGAAGCGAACACGGTGAGTCCAGATGGTGGTCCTGTGGAGGGAGGCTGTGACCCTTCCAGCTCCACCCAGCCTGCCAGGCCCCTCAGTACATATGCCCTGTTCTGTGTCACCTAGGGCAGTGGCTTGGTGGGCATTCAGGGGGTACATAGTGCTGACTCCCTAATCCTAGCCACTTAGCACCTCATTTCAGAAAGAAATGCACAAACTACACACACTCCAAGCCAATTATACAGCACGCAGGCCTGGCCACACAACACGCAGCTTTACCAACATCCAAGAAAATGGAAGGGCCCGGCTGGCCTGGTTCACTGGTTGTTGGCCTATGGACCAGGAGGCCAGGGTTCGATTCCCAGTCAGGGCACATGCCCAGGTTGTGGGCTCGATCCCCAGTGAGGGGCATGCAGAAGGCGGCTGATCAATGATCCTCTTTCACCACTGACGTTTCTCTCTCTCCCTTCCTCTCTGAAACAAATATATACTTTTGAAAAAAATGAAAAGTTTCTAAGGACAGAACATTGGACCTCATGCAAGTGAATTCTAGAGAATGTACGGTGTCCTGAGCAAGAAGTCACTTTTAACACTTTTCCTCTTTCAAGTCAGGAATGCAGGTGAGACAGACAGCTCAGTGTCAGGAGGCAATGAGTGGCCCTTGATCCCGCGTGTCTGGGTTGGGCAGAAACAGAAGGTGCCCTGGCGTCCCTGCTAGTCGGGGGGCACCCTGGCTTTTGTCTTCCCCACCGTGGGCGAGCAGGTGAGATGGGGCTGCAGACACAGGGCCTCGCCACTTCTGGGACTTGAATGTTTTCTTTCTAACCAGCTCGTTTTCTCCCATTTGAGGTACATGCTGAATGAGATGCCCACCAGAATGCCCACAGTTTTGTGGACGTTTACAAGGATATGAAATGGCCCAGATCAGGTCTCTGAGCAGCTCAGTGCTGCCAATCAGACACGGCTCAGAGCCGTGGGGATGGGGTGTTGTAAGCCCGCATGGGACGGCACCAGCCCTGGGGCCGGCAGGAAGGCTGCCCTGAGGGAGGAACAGAGCCAAATGGCTCAAAGACGGGCATTAAACGACCTCCTCGTGTCTCTGGAATCGTCTCAGGGTCTCTGTCTCAAAGTACCACACGGGGTGAGCTGACAAGATTGAGACTCTGCCATGGACACACGTCCTGCCCTGGGCCCATTCATCTTCCAGAGCTGTTTTCACACTCCTGCCCTTCCCACCCCTGCCTGCTGGGGGCCAGTGTCTTCACCTGAGGGCGGGCAGTGCAGGGCCAGTGCACTTTCCCCAAACCTGCAGATGAGCACTTCCAGAACTTCCTGGGAAGGAAGGGAAGTGTCATGGCCAGCCTGCCCTGGGCACAGCAGGCCCGAAGTCAATGGTAGGCAGAGATGCCGAGGGGACAAGAGCTCTGAAAAAATGAGCAGAATGCTACCATTTATGTAACATCTCAAAGCAGTTAAGGGTATCACAGAGAGAGAAATCAGTGAAAACTGTTAAATGATATAAGTGCTGACCATTCTGAATTTAAAATAAAAAGGACCAGAACTGGCGCCCACTCAAAAGAGAGCTTTTGGGGAGAGAGTCTGAAGGAATCCAGCTCTTGACAAACCTCAGGGCATAATTAAGCCCATTACTCTGGGAGGTTTCCCACTCACAACCCAAAGACTTTAATCCGTACAGAAACTAACATGAGCTCACTTCTTTCATGTTGTGGGTGGCAAAGCCTCTTGCTGCAAAATGGGGGTGGGGGTGGAGGAAGGTCCCAAAATAAAAGTCAAGTATGGCATGCCAACAGGATGAGGACGTGTGTGGCACAGCATTGCAGCCTGGCCCCTCCCCAAGCAGCAGCCACACCTTGGGCTGTGGTCACTGCCAGATGTTTTTAAATTTTAAAGAAGTATAACTTACACAGTCAAATGCATGGACCTTAAGTGGTATTCTTTCTTTCTGAAATCGATTAGAATATATCAGTAAACCCATTTAGCTTGATTTTCCTTTATGGAAAGTTTCAAAATTACAGATCTAATTTTTAAAAATATATATATTTTATTGGTTTTTGTACAGAGAGGGAGAGAGAAACATCGATAAGAGAGAATCATCGATCAGCTGCCTCTTGCACACCCCCTACTGGGGATATGCCCGCAACCAAGGTACATGCCCTTGACCGGAATGGAGCCCGGGGCCCTTCATCCCCAAGCCAACGCTCTATCCATTGAGCCAAACCGGTCCTGGCTACAGATCTAATTTTTAATTATTACACTTTAAATATCTCTTGGGTCTATAATGATGTCTCCTCCTTCATTCCAAATATATTGGTAACCTATATTTTCTCTTAAAAATCACCCTTGCTAGGGATATGTCAATTTTATTGACTTTTTTTTTTTTTTGTATTGACTGTCTTTTTAGTTTTTTGTTTTTTTTTAATTCATTTTTAGGGAGAAGAAGGGAGAAACATCTAAGTGAGCAAGAAACAGCGTGCCCCAACTGGGAATTGAACCACCACCCTTTGGTGTAAGGACAATGCACCAACCAACCGAGCCACAAGGGGCAAGGCTGTGCACTTAAATTTCACTTTCCTTCACTGTTCATTTCTCTTTACCTGTTGATTTTGAGTTTACTTCGCTATTACATAAGTTTTAAAGGTGGAGACTCAAATGATTGCTTATTATCTTTTCTTATAAGCTTTAAAAACCATAAAACATTACGAAAAACTCTGCTTTAGCTAAATACCACAAATATTTTAATTTTCCATCAAATTGAAAATTTTGTGATTTCCTTTGTGATTTTTTTCCCCTTGATTGCTCAATTTCCAAGTATTTTGGCTTTTCAAAATGGCTTAAAAATTTCTAATTCAATTCTGTGTGGATATGAAACAGATCCTGCACGATTTCAATTTGGAATTTATCCACATTTGCTTATTTATCCAAAGCACTGCCTGTCCTGCCAATCAGAAGATGCACACTCTGCAGCTGGGTGTCGTGCTCCCCTGGAACTGGCAGGTTGGGTCCAGCTGGCTGATAGGGCTGCTCATCTTTGGCATCCAGACGCCCCATTTCTACCCGTGACCGAGACAGGGTCAGAAACTCCCGCTCTCTGTGGGTTTGTCTGCTTCTCCCTGGATATCGGTGAGGTTCTGCTTCGTGCAGTCTGAAGCTGTGACTAGGGAGATACATACCAGGGCTGTGCCCTAAGAGGGTGCAAATCACACCTGCACTGGGTCAGGTTCAAGCCCAACGGTGCGTCCCTGAAGCTACGGTGTCAAACTCACCAGGACGAGGGTCAGGGCCTGCCAACTGTGCGTTCTCTTGTTGAGCAGCGCCTCCAGTTAATGCGGAACCCACACACAACACACAAAGTTGGCATCGCGCCTGCGTGACCGTGATGTGGTGCCCGTGACCTCAGTGTAAGTGGACACCACACCTCCCAGGACAGAGTCCCAGCAAGAAGCCACGTAACTGTCTGACGGGTCCCACACCCTCCAGGGGAAGGAGGCGGCTCGACTTCCAGAAACGCAAGTGCGAGTCCCTGCCTCATGCTCTTGGTGTGGAGGGCCCCTGACGACTGACCTGTCGAGTCCCCAAAAGTGAGATGACAGTGAGGAACCGAGGGACACACCTTGTCATGTGAAGAAATGTGACACACAAGCTTGTAAGTGACAGGCGGAACAGAGTTCGACCTAAAGAGACACACTCCTCCTTCTTCCAACCCACCTGGGCCTCCGCCCGTCCGTCTGTCCCAGCAGCTGACCTCCCTCGCGCTCTGGTGCAGAGGCTCAGGCGGCCTTGGAGCTGGGGGGCATGGACTGTGCCTGAAGGGGGAGGCGGAGGAGGGGAGGGGCTGCTCCCCGTGATGCCCAAGCAGGGGTGTGGCTCAACCACTGCCCACCGAAGCCTCCCCTCGGTTGGGGCGAAGGGAGGGTGCCCTAGCCCCCTGCAGCCACGGCAGTGTGCAAGGCCCACTTCGTGCGCGTAAATTCCGCCTCAGTTCACCTCACACTGGACTCTGGGCCACAGCCAGCCGGGGTTCACAGCACCCACCCTGCCCGCCCTGCGGGGACCGCGTACTCGAGCACGGAGTGCGTGGCGGCGCCGGGGTGGTAGCGGTAGAGGAGCAGTCTCTGGTCCACCCGTCGGACGCCGCCGCCTGCCCGGAGGTGGTTGTAGAACAGCAGCAGGTCCTCGGGCACGCCCTGTGGAGAGGCGGCTGCTCACCCCAGCACAGCACTGTCCGTGCTCTCCCCCGGCATCCAGTCCTCAGGCCGCGAGGCGGGGAGGCTGCAGAGCTGCGGGTGCTCAGCCCACCTGGGTCCCTGAGGTCACAGCCTGCTGACGACACGCCCAGCCGCCCCAGCCCAAGGCATCCCGTGCAAGAGTGACCACAGGAAGCTCTTTAAAGTGAGGAGGAGCGAGAGGGGAGGAATGTGGCAGCCTGGCCAGGGGGACAGACACCCCACCTCCCCGCCACACATCTCCCAGCTGACCCTCAGTCCTTTGGGACAGGCACTGGGCTCTGACACGTTCTCCTGTCTTGTGAGACAGGTCCACCTCCCGAGTCTGGGTATGCTGAGGAAGGGGCACCCCTCCATCCGCTCGCCGGGCTCAAACTAGAGCCAGGGCGTGAGGCCTGTGCCCCCTGCAGGCCAGCCTAGGGCTGCACACCTCCGTGCTGACCAGGGGGCCGGGTGGGCTCCCTCCCTTTCTAAGTTCCAAAGGGGAAACTGAGAGCATCCACTGGGGTCAGAGGTCAGCATCCTCTCGGGGTGGTGCCTGCAGGGCCTGTGGCAGAGCATGAGCTCCTCCCACTTGTGTGAATTTGGGAGAAACGGCAACATGGACCGTGCCCGATGCCCTAGAACTGAGATTGGCTTGCTTCCAGGAGACAGGGGCCCGGTGATCCGCGTGCCACCAGGCATGGCAGGGCCCCAGGCAGAGGGAGCGCAGCGGGTTGGTCCTGGGGCCCGGGCAGGCATGGCAGGGGCTGGGCTGCATCCCGGGCAGCACTGCTGGGCAGCCCCGGGGCCCTGGCTTTTAGACCTGAGAACAGCCATGACCCTGCGGAGCATGGCTGTGACTGAGAGACTACCCAGTGACGGGAGGAGGGTCGAAGGTCAGGGGTGAGGGGAACGGGAAGGGGGGATTGCTGGGGAAGGCAGAGGGATACTGGGCAGGACCAGGGAGGGGCAGTCCCTTGGCCCCCATCAGTCAGTGAACTGTCAGCCCAGAGCCAGGACTGTGGCCAAGGTCCCAGGGCGGGTGATGGTCTGGCCAGAGTCACCAGGAACCCTGTTCCCAGAACCCCTGCCAGTCCTACACCCATCCCCTCCCCCCTCCAGTGTGGCTGCCTCCCACAGGACTGCCTCCTCCCCCTCACCCACCACCCACATCCCAGCTTCCCACAACAGGATGAGGTAACCGGGGCCTGGGCCAGGGCAGGTGTGACACCCTCAGCCTCACACAGAAATCCCTTGCTTGTGGCAAAACAAACGCAGTGCTGGGCCCCAGCTGCCCCCTGGAGCTCAGCAGAGCAGCAGAGTGCTGGGGCTGTCTTAGAGGCACTTCCCTGACCCCTGATCCCCGGACTAGGTCGTGGCGCCTACAAGCGGCAGGGTGGAGGGGTGGGAGTCCAGAATGGGGAATGACAGCACCAACCCCAACCCCAACCCCAGAGGAGGACTCCATGGGGGGACCCACACTTACCTGCCCGCCCTCGTCGAATGGGCCCACGTGAGAAAACCACGCTCGGGAGCAGAACCAGGTGGGCATGACCACAGTTGGGCCATTGGAGGTGAAGACCTAGAACAGTTAACACGGGCAGTGTCACAATGCCTGCACCTCAGCCCCTACTGGCTTCAGGGGGGACAGACTGCTCTGCACGTCCCTCCTCTGTAGGGGCAGGCTCGTGGGATTTTGCCACGAGATCGAATGTCCAGCCCCCGGCGCCGGGCATGGATACGGGGCCCAGCCCAGCCCAGGTTCTGCTCTCGGAGATGCTCAGTGTGTAAGGAGCCTCCCCTGCATCTGACCAATGGTATTGCTTGTCTGAGTATCACAGGAAACAGATGAAATAGCGTAAAAGGACAGATGATGACTAGGAGTTTAGATGAAATGGACAAATTCCTAGAAAGAAACCATCAAAGGGACTCAAGAGGAAACAAAAAACCTATGTAAATCGGTGTGAGTAAGAGCCCGGACAGATGTGCCTGCTCAGTCCTCCTCGCTGCCCCTCCAGGGCACACATTTTCAGAGAAAAGGAAGAGGACTCGGGGGCAGAGCCTAGGCCCCTACACATGCTGTGGCCCTTATACAGGAGGCTTGCTGGGCTCTGCTTTCATCTCCAAACCCATCTCTGCAGCTTCCCACAGAGGGAGGAAGGGACGCGGGAGGGGAGGGGGGTTTTCTGAGGGTGCACACAGCGGGATGAAAGCGACCGCAGTCTCCCACATCTACAGCTCCACAGTCCGTCTCCAGATCTCACTTATCGCCCAGAGCACAGCACTGTAATTTCTCAGGGCTGCTTCTTCCCAGGCCTTTCTTACAGCAGCATATTCTCTCGGTCTCAATGACCCCCACCCCCAATCCTACCTGCACAAGACAGAACAGTTTTCAAGGCATTTTGTAATGTTTTCCTCAAACAAAAGAAGAGCAGAGAACAAAGAAGGAGCTTCTGTCCCAGGCCATTTCTCAACCTCCTGCCTCCCTCCAAGCTTCCAGGGGGGATGCCAGAGCCCAGGGCTGTCTCTCTGCTCCCCGCTGGCCCCTTTCCCACGGACGGGCACCCACGTCCAGGTCCAGCACACCCAACACCACCCGACACAAGCTTGCCTCCACACCTGACGTTCTCCTAAAGGAGCGAAAGAATAACAATGGAACAAAAAAGCAAAGAAAGCACTTTTGGAGGTGAGCGTTCAGTCCCGTCAGAGGACAAACTGGCCGCCCCGGTGGCTTCTTTCAAGCTTTTCTGTGTTGTTTCAGGAGGTTCGCTGCTTGTCCAGCTCCTGCCTCCCAGCAGGCGTTACTTCCAGCTGCCCCCTCGCACACTCAGGTGCAGCCGAGCACCCGGAGGAGCCAGCTCTGCCGCAGCCGGAATGAGCGACAAACCCGGACTGAGACCTCCCCACTTACTTCAGGAGTCCTGCAGCCACAGCCCTGACCGGACTGCTGACTCTGCTGCTGCTTTCCTCACCCAAAGGCATTTTTCCATTGATTTTCACAGAGTGGACACTAATAAAATTTTATGTACAAGGCAGGCAGAACAACCTGCCAACCATGGGTTTACCTGGTAAGAGGTGGGACTTTGGCTTCCATTTGAATGAAAACTGTTTGATTACTGAGCCTGGAACAGGCCAGCGCCCCCCTCCTGGCTCTCCCACTGCTGGAGTCTGTGGGTAAATGAGGTGCAGAAATAACCCCAGAATCTCAGGATTCTTGGAACCCAAATGAAACAGGACCAAGAGGCATAAATGCTTTTTACATTGCTTGTTTTCATCTTCCATGTTTAAGTCAATAATGGGAAACTGAACCTGTTGCTCAGATGACTCAGGAGGACTCGAGCTCCACGCAGCCCAGCAGAGGGCACTCTCGGCTGCGAGGAGGAACGGGAGAAGTGGCCAGTTGGAAGTTCAGTGTCAAAACCAGGTAATCCCAGACCCCAGGCCAATCACAGACAGGGGGGCACAAGGCCCAGCCAGCAGCTCCCTTTTCCTGGGTCAGCTTCCCCCTTGGTGGAGAGCCGGGCAGTGGGCTTCACTCCGGGCTGCCCCCTAACTTGTCACCAAAGCAACGCCCTTCCCTCCCGTGAGACTGTTGGGACTTTCTAAACCTTCTCATCGATTTTGGCCTCCTCTTCTCTCTCAAGCTGTCACTCCGTTTGTGTCACGACCTAAAAAATCAGATGCTCCAGATTCTTAGAACGTGGCCAACAAGGGGTCCCAAGCGAGGCCTTGTGGCCCAGGCGCTGTTCTGGGAACCCGGAGTTTGGGGCTCCCCCCTGGTTTACGCTAACAGAAGGTGCACTTCGCAAAAGTGAACTGTGTGTAGTTCTCAAACCTTAAAAGTCTACCCCAAGATGTGTCAGATGCAGAGCAAATGGGAACAAGCTCCCTATGCCGCAGACAAATTGGCTGGGCCTGAGGAAGGCGCAGGAGGATGCGGCAGACACGTGAACTGCTTTCAGGAAGAGAAAGCACGGACTGCAGGCTGCACACACGCTCGCTGTTTATTCACAAAGGAGCAGCCCGGAGTCAGAGGTGCGAGCAGAGAAATTCACAGGCCTCATTAGCTGTCTCTGCAGGAAGTGATATGGTTCTTCCAGTTTACATGACTCATTTCCAGATTTCGGGGGCTTATTATCCTTATTTCTAAATGCTCATTTGTTGGAAGACTATCTTTAGATAGATAACAAGTTCTCCAGATTTCTGACATTTAACACCCACATAGCAACAAGGATAAACTTTGATGTGAAATCCAAAACCTATGGCTTCTGGATTTAATGAAGGCACGGCCATTAGAGTAAGTTTCCTTTCTCAGCAGCGTTTGGGGAAGCTGGGAAGCACTCTATTGCACCAGGTTCACGTGGACCTGCACCACACACTCTGCCTATGACACTCGCATGAACAGAGAGCGAAGACAACGGCACAGCTGCACCATGTCAGAGCACGTCAGATTTTAAATCATAAATGCCGATTGGTTAGGATTAGGTAAAAACCACGGAGCTCCAAGGAGACACTTTTTAGGAAAAGACACATGGAGATCAAAGAAGAGTGAGATGTCCTGGTTTTACATGAAACAGCGAGTTCCAGCATCGTGCTATGGACACTGCCAGACTGTGGGACCACTGCGGGATGTCAGCCGTGCACACTGCAAGGTGCCATAGAGCAGTTGGCCTGAGGCTCTGTGTGTTGTGCTTAAACCCTTGCATTTTACGAAAGTAAAACAGAGCCACAGAGGTCACCCAGCTGATGGAAGGCCTGGGGCCTTGAGGGCGGCAATCCGGCCCACGACACCCGCTCCATTCTGATTGGCAACACCCAACAGGATGGAGACACCAGTCCCCTCTCAGCAGGCCCCGTACTGACGGACTTGCAGTGTGGCCTTAGCCCTCGACCTCAGGTCCAGGACATCGGAGAGACCTTCCAGGGCCAGCCTGTCTCCCCACCATCACCGCTGCTGACCCCAAGGTGAACTGGCCTCTCGCCTCCACCCTGTTGGCACTGTGCCCCCTCAAGAGCATCCTCTCAAACTCCCTTTCTCTCCTGGGTCCTCCTCGGCAGCTGATCACCATGGCCAGCAAGTTTGTCAGGCAGTCTGGGCCAGATGACCAGTCCTGATGAGGTGAAGCACCGGGTCCAGAGCCCTAGGAAAGCCCCAGACGGAGTCTGAGCCCAGCCTGGCCCACATGGGCCGGGAGCCTTCGTGGTGGAGCTCCCCTGCCATCTGCAAGGACGTGCAGCCAGGCCGAGGAGCACGAGGGTGTCTAGGCTGTAACCTGGAGCCCATGTGGCAGCCCTAACCCCCAAGGGGACTGTACGTAGCAGGTGACTGTCAGGTAGGGCCCCATCCCAAGGTGTTCTCATGGGAAGGAAAGGTGCTGGAGTGAGCAGAGGGGATGATGTGGCCTATGAACACGGAAGGACCCACTTGGTGGCACTCGCCTGATGAAATCCTGGATTTCTGTAACTAACGGCTGAGAAATGACTTCAGAAATACTTCTTCAATTTATCTTGAGACACTTCAGACTCTAAGCTCCCAGCCTGCTAAAGAAGACACCACTGTTTCTATGGTGCTGGATAGGGAAGGCTTCCTCTGAGTCCTCAGCCCAGACCTGTATTTCTGGCTGAGAAGGTGCCTGCTGCCTTTACATCACATCCTCTGTGCTTAGTTACAGTTTTCGCCTGAGCCTCGTTCTACCAGAAAATCAAACAGGTCAGAAGTCCGACTCGGCAGCTTCATCCCTGGGAGACCTGCCAGCCCGCCTGCTCTGGCAGCACCGAGTGCCGGACGACCACAGACCTAGCAGCTCTTTCAGGTCTCCTGTGCTCCTTTGTTCAGAAAAACAGAACAAGAACCGTATGTGCATGTCCTGAGGGTGCGAGCACCATGGGCCCGTGTGCCCGCAGCCCTCCCCCCTCTCGGCAGAGAGGGCCAGGGTGCTGGTGCTGGCACCAGGGCACGCTCCCATCACCGTGACTCAGAGAGGAGCACTAATCTAAGGAGGAAATTATCATACAAGTCATCCCTTTCACCAAGTGGCAAAATTCAGTTTAGAGAAAGAGCATTTTTCACATGGCAGGGTCACGGGAACCGCTGTGTGAGCTACATACTAGCATCGGCCCCACCACACGGGCAGAGGTACCTTTCTAGGCTTCTGGAGCCACGTCCTGGGGGTGGGGTGACTGCCCTCTCCCATCAGCCTACCCCGGTGGCCCCACACCCCTCAGGTGGTTTCCAGTTTGATTTCAACTCAGGTCTCTGCAGCTCACAGCAAGCTCTGGCCCCCTGCAGGGCAGCCCCACCCAGATGCTGCACCTCAGCTTCCAACCCCAGTCCCCGAAGTGTGTCCATCTGACACCACCCTCCACCTGCCTAAAGCTTGGCCCTGCCCAGCCACACCCCTGCGCTCCATCCAGTCCCCCTCTGGGCTGCTCTGCCAAGCTCCCAGGCTCCTGCCCTCTGGCTCCTCTGAAATGCTCCCCCTTGCCCAGTGAGCGCTGGCACACCCTGGGGGTGGGCAAACAGGTGCTAATGGTGAACCGAACCCCGGCTCCCACCATAAGCGGCTGTTCTCCAGGGTGTGTGGCCCGCTCCCAGCCTCCGCAGCAAGTACCTGAGTGAGCAGCTGCTCAGGCGCCAGCTGGTTGATCCAGCGCGTGTACCGCTCTGTGGAGTTAGGGGGCTCTCTCCTCACTTGGCAGCCTATGATCTGTAAAGCGGAAGAGATTCTCTATGAGTTCCTGGGTGCACACACCTGTGTGTCTACCTCTCACCTGGCACCAGCTGGCACCTATGGGCTGGGTTAGGGGGAGCTTCTGAGAACAAGGTAGGAGGGGCTCGGGTTCTGGGGACAGACCCTGCTGCTCTGTCCACAGCCCTGTGCGCACGAGGCGCCTGTGTCCTCCCGGGTGATGGCACACAGGGGCCGCACACAGGATGTCCCCCTCTGCGAGGCTTCGGGCTCCAGGGCAGAGGCCGTGTGCTCACTACAAGACATGCGCTGGCTCCTCTGTAGCTGGTGATGGCGCTGTCCTCGGTCCTGCTCCACATGGAGCTGCAAAGACAGAGGTGCCCAGCATCCCCCTCGAGGCAGGTTGTTCTGTTGCCTGTTTGTATATAAAGTTTTATTGGTGCACTGAGCATGTGATGGGGGAGCAGGATGTTCACAAGCTTGCTGCTTGTCCTGAGCTCCCTGGGAACTCGCTGACCTCAGAAACATCCCAGGAAGGGTCCATCTGTCCCCAAAGCCGTCCACACAGGCGGGAAATGCTCAGGATGCTGCCCTCCTTGGCACCGGGCCCCTGCACCCCTGCTCTGGCCCCACAGTGATCTCTGCTCGGGAAGGTCCAGGACGGCTGGACAAGTGCCACAGTGGGCGTCAGACTGTGCGGCAACACTGGTGGAAGCCGCCACAGGGCCTTGTCTTTACAGTGAAGTGGTTTTCTTGTAACCAGCTTTCAGAAAACAGTGGCCAAGGGCAAGCATACACTTAGCATTCATTTCATTCTTTCCGAACTAAATATATGACAGAATCGACAAAACCACCAATCAGCAGCTGCAAATTAAGATTTTTTAGGTCATGATTAAAAAAAAATCCAACCCCACAGGGATGAGTTCTCTGAAGCTGCTTTGTTCTGATGCAGCCAGTTGGTGAGGACATCCCTGTCTCCATTGAGAACCTGCAAGGCAGGAGCTGGCCCCACAGAGAGGCACCAGCTGCCGGCCGGGAGCATTCGCAGGAGGAGGCAGAGTTCCTCCTGAGCATGAACTTGAGACGGTGAGCACGAAAAGCTTAACCTTGAACTTTGTTAAAAAGCAGACCAGGGTAGTTTAAGAGCATGAGGAACAGACGCAGTCTGCCTTTTTCTAAATTCCTTGCGTGTCCCCAGACATCGTGGTTCGTCTGAGTCTTGCCTGCAGGGCTGTGCAAAATAATTTCACGTTTGATTGTTTTCAGTATGAGAATGAAAAAGGCAGACAGTATCTGAAAGCAGCTTGCTCTCAAGAGCACCCACATGGATGCCAGGGCCTGTAGCCGCTTCCACGTGGGCCAGTTTCAATGCTAGGAACTGCTGTGTGGCAGTCACTCAGAAGGAAGATACAGCATTCCCATGAGGACGGCTCACCCAACTGCTCAAACTCAGCGTCCTCCTCGTGGGGCGGGGTCGTGCCTGTGCCTGTGCCTGTGGCAGGGCCACCCGGTTAGCATGGACAGGCAGAAGCAGTGAGCTTGGCCGTCAGTGCAATTTAAACTCTGGAAAAGCTGAGCTGCTCCTCTGGAGTCGTGCCACCTAACGTCCCATCACACCTGTCAGACCAGAGAAACGTCTGCATCCCTGCCCCGCACTGCCCTGTAGACAACCTGTGAGCCGAAGTCCATCTAGGACTTCTTCCCACTCCTCTGCCTCTTCCCAGCAAAGGAGCGAGACCACAGCCTCTTGCTGTCCATCTGCTCTCTCCTTTCACGTCACTGGGAAATCTCGCCAACATTGCTGGAGGTCAGCCTACTGACCCCACGGAGGAATCCAATGATGCCTGATGACCAGGACCTGAAGGTTGCAGGTCCAACCCACTGTCCAGAGCTGGATGACATTTCCACGTGGCTCCTAGGACCATGGTCCGCAAACTGCGGCTCTCAAGCCACATGCGGCAATTTGGCCCCTTGAGTATGGCTCTTCCACCTACTGCGCCCTGTAAACCCCGTCCAACAGATGGGCCCGGGCGGTGTAGGTGCACACGAGCGGGCACAGCGTGGGGCAGGGCACCACAGGGATAGAGTGACTGCATGGGGCTGCGTCCTGCAGGCGGAGTCCAGGCCTCCAGGCAGGAGGGGCTGACAGGGCCACGCAGGGAAAGCTGTGAAGAACACGCTGGCATCCCCAGAGCCTGAGGCAGAGCAGCGCGTGAGGCCAGGGCAGTGGGTGCCCTCGGGCCCTGGACCGTTCTTTCCAGGCCGGGGCGGCGGGATGGGAGTTGGGGAGGGGTATGTTGAGCACATGTCAGCGCCCGGGTCGGATGCCCTCCACAGTGGGAGGACCAGCATACTCAGTGAGGAGCACGAGAGGGAGTGTCTGAGGACTATAGGGGGCCTCGGCCACCTCTCCACACAAGGCTCCTATAGGGAGATGAGAAGGGGCCCCCTGAGTGCCAGGAAGATGGTCCTGGAGAGGCCTGACTCTGGCCGACAGGGAAGCTGCTCTGAAGAGAACACAACTGAGTTAGCGCTGGGAGAGGGACTGCAAAGCATTGTGGTGACACAGGGAGCTCTCGGCCTGTGGGCACGGCTTCAAAGATGCTGATTCAAACAAAACAGAACAAAAATCCAGAGGCCCTTTGTACCCCCCCAGAAGGCAGCAAGTGCCACCCAAGGAAGAAAACACCTGCAGGGTCTGCAGGCGCCCAGACGCCAGGGAGGGCAGTGCCGCTGTAGCTCGGCCTCACCCAGGAGGACTCTGACCCGAAAGAAAGGCGGGTGCTCAGTGAGCACAGCTGACCCGGCTCCAGGGGTTTTGCTCAAGGCCATGATTTGCATGTGTCTCAGGAGAGCCACCCAGGCAAGAGCCTGCTTCTGTGTATGGTGGGGCCTCACTCCTACAGGCAGCATGACACCCTCACATACACCTCTGAATGTGCCAGATAAAATACTTGCAGGCCACATGAATTATTTTTCAAATTGTGCCCTTGTTTTAACAATTACTGTCACAATCTTCCCATTTCTCCCAAGACACCACCAGGGGTATCATAAACACTGCTTGTGAGAATTTGCACGTTAGGTGTTTGTGTGTGAACTTGTGATTTTAGCCAAATGAACTATCTGAATATTTGAATAAGCAGGTCTCTCCTCAACAAGAAAAATGAACAAATAAAAGAAAAAGCTGTGATGACAATCTCTCAGAGGCAGTGAAAACACAGAACCAGAGGTCAGCACTCACGCTTGTTGGGTGCCCGACGGCGGCTTCGAGCTGCAGCCTCACCCTCTGCGGCATCATCACATCGTCCTGCAAGGAGGAGCCCACGTTAACTCACAGGAAGCCACAGACATGAAAGGAAGAGGCAGGCATCCCACAGCAAAGCGGGCAACAGACCAGACAGGCAATTCGGACCCGGCCCAGTGGACTCTCGCATGCTGCACAGGGGACGGGCGAGCTGGCCGTGGCGGGCAGCCGGAGAGGGAGGACTGCAGAGGGACACTGTGCTGAGTTACAGGTCACGGTGGGGCAGGGGAGTGAGCAGTTAAAACACAGTGCCAAGCTTTTCCACCCTGTTCTGAACCAAGAACATGACTGGCTCAAGTCTGTGCTCCTGAGACCTCAAGTTAAAAAGAAGGAAATCACCACAGAAACTAGAAAATTGGATAATGCTAGGATGCCATGTTCAGAAGCTATAGGACCTTTACAGCGATCCTGAGAAAACCAAACTTATTTATACTCTTCATAGTCTTACTTCAAATGAACCCTGAGAGCAACACAATCTCCCACTGTCCAACCGACACCCACCCCAGAGCATCCCGTCTCCGCAGAAGATCGGGTCACAGCTCCCCGCCATCTCTGACGCCCCTCCCCCCACTCTTCCCTGGGACCAAGCAGGCCAGGTGTCCAACCTTCTCTTCCTCTCTCTCTGGCCCTAAATGCTAAAGGGCATCTTTCAAGGACCTCTGACAGCGGGCAGTGGTTGTGGACCTTCCTCTGCCCTCCTCGGCCTGTGGGTGGTGGCGACTCTGCTGACACCCATTTACCTGCTTTACTTAGGTGACTCCTGGATTTGAAAGCCCCAACCATTCTAATCTAGGCCCCATATTTTCCAACACTTCTCTACCTGGACGTCACTTCAATTAGGGCTTTTTTCTTTCCCTTCACTGGAAAAAAGAAAGTTAGAGCAGAGACCCTGTTGTGGAGAGGATGACTTGAGCCTCTCTTCTACTTCCAAGATGGAACCAAGCTCTTCAAGCTGGGCTCTCCATACTGGGGAGATCGAAAGACCCCTCGAAGATGGGATGGTCCGATCCAGCACCAACCTCCAGCTCAAATGAAGTTTATGTTGTCATTAACTTCAGAGAGAAATACAGTCACTATAAAGTCTTTCAGAAAGAGCAAGCTTAAAGAGAAAAAAAATAACCAAATCACCCAAAGACTACAAAAGCACAATTGCCAATGCAGTGGTGAAGCTGTCTTTGTTGGAAACTGTTTATGAAAATGTTGGATGGCCCCTCAGTGTGAAAATAAGCCCAGAGCCTGAAAGGAGATGACAGAACGAGAGGGGTGGCTGAGGGTCCCCCCTAGAGAACAGGGAAAGCGGTAAAGTTTCAGCCTAAGAAAGAAGAGGAAGCTGCAGCCCCTGCTGGGATCTTGTTTTCAGGGTGGGGCTGTGTCATGGGCAAGTTACACACACACACACACACACACACACACACACACAAACTGTCCCAACTTCCACATGTACCACAGCCCTGTAATCAGAGAAAAAGCTGAGTCAATATGACAAAAAGAAGCTTCCGATGTGGATTAATTCAGCACAAGTGGGAACTGTGACCCAGAGCTGAACTTGAGAAGGAAAACAGCACCTGACCCCCTTCCCGGGGAATGCACAGAAGACTGGGAGCTCCGTACCCCAGACTCGAGGAAGGAGTGCAAGTGTTCTTCAGTGCGCTTCAAAGTTCCTACAGAGAAAACCCCTCACGAAGTGTGCAGGACAGATGCAATCACGTGCTCTTTTTTTACCAATCATAATCATCTGTCATGTTTTTTTTTTTAATATATTTTATTGATTTTTGTACAGAGTGGAAGGGAGAGAGATAGAGAGTTCGAAACATCAATGAGAGAGTCACTGATCAGTTGCCTCTTGCACACCCCCTACTGGGGATATGCCCGCAACCAAGGTACATGCCCTTGACCGGAATCGAACCCGGGGCCCTACAGTCCCCAAGCCAACGCTCTATCCATTGAGCCAAACCGGTCCCGGCATCATCTGTCATGTTATTAAACGTTTTTCATAAAAGATAATTCCCTCACATGGACCTTCACTGTTACTCCACTGGCCTGCACTGCTGTTTCTCATTTCCCATCCTAACAGCAAACACTGAAGCTCTTTGTACGTAAATCTCTCACCGAGACCGGTTTAGCTCAGTGGATAGAGCGTCGGCCTGCAGACTGAAAGGTCCCAGGTTCAATTCCGGTCAAAGGCATATACCTGGGTTGTGGGCACATCCCCAGTAGGGGGTGTGCAAGAGGCAGCTGGTCAATGATTCTCTCTCATCGATGTTTCTAACTCTCTATCCCTCTCTGTAAAAAATTAATAAAATATATTTTTAAAAAAATCTCTCTTGGAATTTCAGAGACTCCTACAGGAGTGGTCCAGGACATAAATGTTTTGCAGTTCTTGAGATACAGTGCAAAATGATGCCATCGACAGTACCCGTTCACACCTTCCAAGTCCCAAGTACCTACAACTTTAAAAAACTGTTAACTTGTCTTTCAGCATCTCACTAATTTGTGTTTCATTACAAATGATTTAAACTTTTTTTAAAGCCTGTCATTTGCACGCCCACGTTTGTGAAGTCCCTACGCCAGTCCTTTCCTATGTGTTGTCACCCGTATTTCTTTGTATTTGCTCATCAACTTGCATGAACTATTTATTCTTAAGGCTATTAATCTTTTAATAAATATTTTATTGATTTTTATACAGAGAGGAAGGAAGAGAGATAGAGAGCTAGAAACATCGATGAGAGAGAGTCATTGATCAGCTGCCTCCTGCACACCCCCTACTGGGGATATGCCCGCAACCAAGGTATATGCCCTTGACCGGAATCGAACCCGGGTCCCCTCAGTCCCCAAGCTGACGCTCTATCCACTGAGCCAAACCGGTTTCAGCAAGGCTATTAATCTTTTTAGTATTATATTTGTCCACATCTTTCCAGTTTATCTTCATTTTTCTTTAGATGGTGCTCTGCTATATGATTTTGCTTTTTTACGTAATCCTATTTATAAAAACTTAACTCATTAAGTGCTATGATAATTAAACAGCAAAAACCTATCTACCTTAAAAGTTCTGATTATAATACATTAGAAGTGATTGCCAAGAACCACACTAAAGTGTAAGATTACTAATTATTCAACATATATATATTAATATATATATATGTGTATCTTTTAGCAATAAAACAAAGAGTTACTCACCGAATCCAAAAAGCACAGGTAAGATCCTGAGCTCTGTGCTATTGCTTTGTTTTTAGAATATCCGACTGTTTAAAAAGAAAACAAAAGCTTTTTTATGATTCAATCTTTGATGGTACACTGGGAGCATTTGCGCTACCAAGAGGGGATCAGGTTAGCCTTCGGAGGAGGGGAGGGAGAAAACCAGGCTCCATGTTTAGTGGCTGATACAGTAAGCACGATGCTAACCCACAAATGGCCACCAGCACCGGGGCCATGTGGGAGCTCCAGGCCGCCCAGGGCAGGTAAGCTCTGCCAGTCTCTGCAGGAACTGCTGTTGGGCTGAGGAGAAAGCACCAGCCGGAACGGCTTCTGAGCAGGGAATGCTGTGCAGAAATTAACGCTGAGCAGCTCAGTCTGGGTGCCGAGGGCAGGGCAGATTGGAGGAGGTATTGAGTCCCAAAAGAAGGGGCTGAGGAGACTTCAAAGGGCACAACGACCACTCTCCCTAGAGAAGAGGTTGCTGACGCCTGAGTCGTGTTAACTAGACAGTTACAGATTTGAAGTCGCCAAGAAAAGTGACAAAAAGCAACACAGATGTGTGCAAAGTTAACACACTACATCCCTCTGGTACTCAAAACCCAGACAATCTGGAGAAAGTTGTAGGTGCCCAGGGGACACGAGCAAAGTATTTCTGGCCACACCCAAGGCACTTCCAGGTTCACTCCTATTGGGAGAGCACCTCTCCAGGAGGAGAGAGAGGGCAGGCCCCTCCTGTCAGCTGCTCTGGAGCACCAAAGTCAGCCAGCTGCAACAGAGAAGTGGGGACAATTAACAGCCATCCACCCTCACTCTGGTCATCAAAGGCTGACCCAGGGCAGTGCTGTTTTCACACAGGGTAGCAGCTTAATTTCTAGCTTTAATCCCAGAGCTTAGCCAACCCAAGCCAGTCAGCAGAAGGGTCCCAGATTTCAACAAAATACAGGATAACAAGCAGAGGCAGGCAGAGTGAGGGGCTCCTGATTGGGGATGGATTAGCAGCCATCACCAAAACAGCTGTGGCTAAATCTCCGTCATCACTGCAAAGCGAGGCAAGCTAAGAGAAAGACCTCATGGGAATCAAAATCAAAGAGCAGCACGTGGAAACTGAAAAATAGGAAGATACTTTCCACAATCACATTTAAATTACAAGTTCTGTTTAAAAGTTGCTTATTAGGGGAAAATCAAACCCAAGCTTTTGGGTGATGAAGGAAAATGCTGCTCACTAAGGACCTGGAAGTTTCCCACAATGAATCTTCTGTTTGGCAAAGACAAGGAATTTGCTTTAATATTATTGCCTTCAAGAAAGTCAAATGTTTGTGCCAGGGCCTGATGTTTGGGGAGGCCCGGCCCTTTGTGAGGGGAGCCAGTTGTCATGGTCACAGCAGAAAAAACTCAGGCTACAGTGTATGGCATCACATTCCTTACTCCTGGAGAGCGGAGGGTGGGATTGTGTTTTATTTTTATTTTAGCAAGCGATCATATTATTAAGAAACGTTTCTACTGTGATAGAAAATGATAATAAATGAATCTTAATCCAATTAAAATAACCCAGGAATCCTGAAAATAGATACTCTGAGTCTATGTTATCCAATATTTCCTAGTTAAGAAAATATTATTATAGGAAAAGATATCCTTTCAGACATAATCAAATTAACTCCATTTTGTTACATGTGATATGGGATCTGCCTTACCCAATTTCAAAAAGACAGCAGCATGGCCAAGGCCATTTGGCTCAATGGATGGACCGTCAGCTTGGGGACTGAAGGGTCCCGGGTTCGATTCCGGTCGGGGGCATGTACCTTGGTTGCAGGCATATCCCCAGCGGGGGGTGTGCAGGGGGCAGCTGGTCGATGACTCTCTCTCATCGATGTTTCTATCTCTCTATCTCTCTCCCTTCCTCTCTGTGCAAAATCAATAAAATAAAAAATCAATAAAAAAATTAAAAAAAAGACAGCAGCATGACTCCATTTTTTCACAATATTACAATAAATTCTTTTGTTATTAGTAGAATACACTCAAATGTGATATAGCTCTAGTTATATCTAATCAATAAAAAGTATTTTATGAAAGGAAAAACATTTTTATTTACTGATTTTTTTTTTTAAGAGAGAGGGATGCATTGTTTTATTGCTCCACTTGTTTATGCATTCATTGGTTGATTCTTGTACGTACCCTGACCGGGAGTCGAACCTGCAACCTTGGTATATCCGGGGACACTCTAATCAACTTAGTAAGTGGTCAACTCAAGTGTTACTCAGGATGCTTTTCCACAGGATTTGAAAAACACTGAACTACCTACGTATATTTTGATAAAAAACCATTTATTGCAGCTAAATAATAAGATAAGCGTATGGTAACTGACCTCCTCTGGGAGAAGGGGAATCGTGCCCCCCAATTACCACGAGGATACCAGAGCCTTCTAGCTTCACTTTCCATTTTTCAATGATAGCCATAGACTTGTCCTGAAAGCAAGAAGGCATTGGAAACTCCCATCAGAGCGTCCAACGTGACTCACATGGGGGACTCATCAATGGGAGGCTCATAGGTACCTTACTGGCGTCGTTAAAAACCGAGAGCTCCATGGCGCCTTCGAAGTCCTGCTGCAAAACAGACCTCAAGCACTCGTCCAACCAGGGCTCAGCATTGTGGACGGGGAGGATCACAGACTGGAATCCAGAGAAATACATTATCGAACAGCGTGAACACTGAACACACTCATTTCCGCAGGACTGGGCGTTACAAAATAACCCAAACCAGGCTTCCAGGGAAAGAATGTGCGGACACACACAGTGTCTATGCCTTCTCTCCAAGCTCTTCAATCTCGGGCTCCAGGAGATGTATTTTATGTTACATGTCCCTCAATTGGTCTTTGGGATACTTTTGAAAAGGAAACAAAAATCTGAAAGGCTTCAAAAATGTCCCCAATTCATGGGCAAATTCATGTTTCCAATCACTTGGAAGGCCAGAAACACCATCACTGTGGTTGAAACAAGCCTCTGTCCATCTTTCAGCCCCGTCATGAAAGTAATCGAGTGGGACTTTTCTGTGTGGGATGCTCGTATTCGGTAAACCATGATGTTGGAAAAGCAACAAAGAAACTGTTTTAAGAACCCCCTCCGCATGCTTCATCCGGCCTGGAGGGGACTCCCGCCCGCTCCCTCAACTCTACTCAGTTCAGCAGCTGGTCGTGTCCTTTTCTCCGAGAGAACAGAAAAAACAAGAATTTCTAAGTGTACGGAACCGACTTCCGGTTAACGGTGCACTTCACCCATTGCACCCGGAGACCGCCCAGGTGCGCACGCGCGGAGGCGCAGACACCCGAGCCCACGCGCACGCGGAAGGGTGTGTTACAGGGAAAACCTCCGGGCGGAAACGGCTCCGCGAGGCTCCGAGAGACAACCACGTGTGTTCTTCCGGGGCTCTGACCCAGCGCGTGTCAACCACAAAGCAGTTCCGTGCACTGACGCGTTTACTTCACTCTGGGAAATTATTTTCTCCAAGAAAAGGAAAAAAGAACCGGTCTATTCACGGTCTACCAGACAAAGCACCACGGGATAGCTGTCACGGGGCCGGACTCGGTGCGTCCGCGCCCCGCCGGAGCGGGGACCCCCCTCCCCACCCCCGACAAGCCCAGGAGAGGGGGACCAGTCCGGACACGGAGGGGGAGGAGGGGACGAAAGGGGACGGGAGCGGGGCGGCACGGCCACCTACCACTTGAGCCCGCATGGCCTCCTCTTCCTGGCGCCCCGCCCTCCGAGCCCTCGAACGCCCGCCCACGTCGGCCTACAGCGCGTGCGCGGGAGGCGGGGCCGAGGTAGGGCCGCCTCCTAGAGGCCAGAGAGACGCCAATCAGGCGGCGGGCGTCGTGGGGAGCGTGGCCTAGAGCGGCGGAGAGGCGGGCGGTCCGGCTTAGGCGGTGGAGCCTCTGGTGCACGGGCTCCGCGCTCATCCTCCCCTGGGCCCCCGGAGCCCGCCTCACCGGAGGGGGCTGCCGCCGCCCAAGTCCTCGGGGGTTCAGGGGTCACCGAAGCACGTGGGTGGTGAGGGAGGCGCACGCTTACGCATGGTTACGACCTAAAATCCGAACCTTGGCGGGCGGGGCGGGTGTCCTGGGGGAAAGGGTGTGCGGTGGGTGAGGAGGCCGGTGACTTGCCTCCGCGCCGTCTCGCCGGAGTGGGGCACCCACAGGCGGGGCGAAGGGAAGGGGAGCCGAGGAAGGCGCCCTGCGGTTAAAGCCCTCCCTCTCACGCCGCCCCGCGCCCCGCGGTCCTCCCCCACTCCCTCCCATCCCGGTCCCGCCGAGTCCCTCTGTCCCCCGTCCCCCCGGGTCCCCCTGTCTCCCCCCGGGTACCCCTGTCCTCCCCCTGCCCCCCGGGTCCCCCTGTTCCCCCCTCCTGGGTCCCCCTGCCCCCCCGCCCCCCGGGTCCCTGTCCCCCCCCCCCCCCCGTCCCCCTGGGTCTCCCTGTCCCCCCCCCCCATCTACCCGGGTCCCCCCATCCCCATTCCCCCGGGTCCCCCTTTCCCCCCGGGTCCCCCTGTTTCTCCCCCCCCCCCGTCCCCCCGGGTCCTGGGGCCTCGTTGCCTGGGGAGCTGGCCCCGCGGTGGACAGCGCTCTGGGCGAGAGCCAGGTGGTCCGGCGCCAGCATGCGCGGGAGGGACCCACTGGGACAGGCCAGGGTGCCAGCACACACTCCTCCAAGTTAATGAGCAAGTTCACAGCCATCGCTGCAAGGACAAACCCTTTAATGCCCCGAACCGAGATCAAGCGCAAATCCTTCTATAAACTAACCACTGCAACAAAGCCGGACTGAAGTGTAATTTTTCCTTAAATTGCATCACTAAGAGCAAAGCCCGTGGCACAAGTTGAAATCCTAGGTCACGTGAGAAAAAATGCCATCTTATCTAAGGTGGAGCACGCTCCCTGGGGTTGGTTTCCAAGGGCCCAGTGCTCTCCAGGAGCGGGCTGTTAGGAATAGTTCCATTTTAAACAGCTTGGTGAAGAGTCACATGGTGGCTACCAGAATGTGGGGTCTGATTTAGAGTTGGGGCTCCAGTAATCAGTGGGAGCAAGAGATGGGGGTGCCAGGCAGCCCCACGTCCTGCGCATTGGACTTGGGCTTGGCTGTTCCTGTCTGGCTTTCTATACATCTATTGGCTGCCAGAAACTCTTTTCACTGTATTCTCCTTAATAAAAATTTGGTTAGAATCGCTTTTTGTAAGCAGAGTGCCAAGAGGCACTTAAGAAATGCAGGGTGTGGCTGGGTGAGGCCCGAGGTCAGTCTCTTCACGGTAGGTAGATTGTCAACTGAGACCCCCAGAGGGGGGTCGCTGGGAGGACATGGTCAGATAAAAAGATGAACAAACTCAAGGACACCTGCAGGGAAAGCGATGCAAAAGTCCCACTGTTCACTGTTGGCTCACCAAGTGATATAGTTCCTTTTATTTATTTTATTTTTTAAATGCAGACTGTTTAGTGAAGACTGGTTGTGTTCAGAAGACCACCAGCCAAGGCCTCCAAATTTAAAAACTGATCAACAGCCTCTTGTGATGCTGGTGTAAATGGTGAAGATGTGGCTGGGGACACCGGGCCCAGAGTCAGACACTGCCTTCAGTGTGTCAGAGAAGGGGAGGCGGGGGGTTCAAGCTTGAGCAACAGCCCGAAGTTCCCTGTCAGCTCACACGGCAATACCTCCACGCAAGCATCCCTTCCCAGTTTCCTGATGTGATGAGCCCCACGAGAGCCCTGGCAGGACCTCCCTGGGCAGCGGGTGCTGCTGGGAGGTGCAGAGCTCCCCAGGCTGTGGAGGGCAGTGCCCAGGACGGTAGGAGCTTGGCTGCCGTAGCTGCCCGAGCACGCCGTTAATAGATCTGTTCACGAGGAGCAGCCAGCGTCTGTGAGTATGACATGCATGGATGTCTGTCTTGTTTTATTGTTTTGTTTTCCCTCTTTTTAAAAAAAGGCTTGTTGATAGTCACTGAGTTGATTTAAGAAGCCAAAGCAGGACTTCCTACCAGCTGAAGGAAGTAATGAGGTTCCCATCACAGGAAGCATTTAATTAACAGCTGAGAAAACATGTGGTGTGATGGTGGCAGCATCTGAGCATCACGTAGGATGTTTCTCTTGGCCTGGATGCTACCTTCCTTAACATGTAGGTCCCAGGTCCAGAAACCTGGCACTCCTGAGCACCTGCATGAGGCTTATCACCAATACCTCTAATTTCAACCAGCAGATCCATGATTTACAGGTCTCCGCACGCGGGCAAATCTTCTCAGCTAATCTGCTGCAGAGCCTGAGTCTGGGCCTATGCAGGGCGGGTTTCTGCTCCAGGAGGCTGGGGCCAGGAGAGCGAGGCAGGCCAGGAGAGGGGTTAAGGTCCAGAGTGCTCTGTTGAGGAGGGGATGGGGGGTCCCCATCATGGCCCTTCCTGAGCAGAGAGCCCTTCAGCTCTCTCTGTAAGAGGTTGGCATCAGTTCAGTGCTTGTTTCAACATTTTAACATTCTGTTAAAATGGATGGGACCCTAAGCAAATAGGAATAAGTTTAATATTTTTAAAAGCTAACACTCAACGGCAAAAGCATGTTAGAACATGTCTTTGGAGAACACGTCTGGCCTTTTCACCACTGCCCACTGTGCCTGTCGAAATGACTGCTATGCTTCGTGAACTGAAGATGCGGAAGCGTAAGAACTACCAGCTGGCCGGCATCAGCAGACCTTGGAAGAGGGGGCTTGTCCCCGGACCAAACTCTGGCAGACCTATCGCTTCTGGGCTTGTGCCCCAAGCAGCCGTCCAATAAAGAACAGGGCTGTTTCAGTCCTGAGCCTGCCCGCAGCAGATTAGCCGAGAAGTTTTACCCACGTGGAGACCTGTAAATCATAGATCTGTTGTTGAAATTAGCGGCACTGGTGATAAGCCTCACTCAGGTGCTCAGGGAGTGCCAGGTTCCTGGGCTCAGGATCTGCATGTTGGCTGCTGAGTCTGGAGATTTGCAGAGTGGAGGAGGTGGCATGAGATATTTATGGAGCTGAGTGGAGCCCAAACCGGGAGCAGGGAACAGGCCAAGAGTTATTGCGTGTGGCCTCTCCCTCGTGGGCCCTTTGCTTAGAGTGACCGAAACTCGCAGAACCTGCTTCCTGACTGTGAAGGGGGTGTGGGGGGGTGTGGGAGACACTAACTTGTGGGCTTCTAGGAAGGGGTGAACAGGTTCTGACATGATCACCTGTTACCCCTCACGGTTGATGGCTTCTTGTCAGGCCTAAATTGAAGAAATGTGGCAAAGCCTGACTGGCCTGGCTCAGTGGCTAAGCATCGACCTAAGAACCAGGAGGTCATGGTTTGATTCCTGGTCAGGGCACATGCCCAGGTTGCAGGCCCGATCCCCAGTGTGGGATGTTTCTATCCCTCTCTCCCTCCCTTCCTTTCTGAAATCAATAAAAATATATATAAAAGAAAGAAAGAAAAACATGACAAAAAAGTCAGAATGTGGGTTGACGGGTGGTGTCCGTTACTCCTGACACAGGGCCGACCTGCAAGGACCCAGGCCTCCCACCTCTCCCCCACCAGGACCCTGCAAAATCCTGGGGCATTGAGAGTCCTGATCACTCCCCTGGCTGCTCTGGGTCCCAGGTTTGTGGGGAGTGAGGTGGCCCCACCTCACTGCATACCGACCAGGACTCCACTTATTTCAAGTTGAATTTGGTCTTATTTCCCAGAATGTCTTCAAATCAACCCTTAAAACCTGTCCCCTGACAAAGGCCTCTCAGCCAAGAGAAGCACCCCTCTGGTGCTGGGAACGAGGTGGGTTCAGTCAGGGCAGCTTGGTGGTGACCCAGGACCCAGGGTGTGGGAGTCGCAGATGCGCTCTGCGGCCAGGAGCGAGGAACGTCTGGGAGAAAGCGGTTATTTTTGCTCTCTGAGGTTAGGACTTCCTGGTGGGACGTTTTAGGAAACGCAGGAAATGTGTGGGCTGGGCGAGGGGAACGTGCCTCTAAAAGCTCCCTTCCCAGGGCACCAGGGCACTTTCCAGCGGGAGAGGAAGAGCTGGGGCCGGGGCCTGGGGCTGCTGCTGCTTTGTGGCAAGCTCGATGGTCCTCCCCAACGCTGCCTTAGAAGGAAAAGCTTCCCAAAAATGCAGATTTTTCAGGAAATGGTCTGAGGTGCTAAGATCCGTGGAAATCACAGGCATGAGCAGGAAGATGGAAAACAAAATGGAAGAGTGCCATGGCGGGAGGTTGGTGGGGGTTAAGTCGGGGAGGGGGCTCCTGAGGTTGCCAGAGGGGCCGCTATCAGCCCTGTGACAGGTGGGCTGGGAGTCTGGATCTGAGCTGGCCCTGCCCACCTGCCGTGCAGCTTGGAGTGAGCAGGCCCTTCCTGAGACGGTTCTGGACTCAGTGTGTGCTGTGCTGCCTCCCTCCTGAAACGCAGGTGAGGGCCCAGGCCAGGCCCGTCTTCCCGCCTGCCTCTGGCCCGCCCTCTGTTCCAGTCAGGAAGGCCGGCCACAGGGCGGGTCTGGGCTGGGCTCTGGGTCCAGGGAGATGGTGCACAGAGTGAGGGAGGCTGATGGTCTGCAGTGTGTGGCCCCAGCGTGGGCCATGAGGAACAGACAGCCACCACCAAGGGGACACTACAGGCACACCCTCTCTGGAAGCATCTGTGATCCCCTGGGGCCCCTCAAGTAAACATCTGCTGGAGCCAGAACCCCTCGAGTACTCAGAGTCCCAACGAGCA